GGCTGACTCCTGGCGGGGCTCGGGGACCCTGTGGGATGCCAAGGGATCAAACCCAGACAGGCGCCCTCCACGCTGTGCGGTCACTCCAGTCCTCACCCCACAGGCTCCTGAGCACCACCCGGTGTGGCTCAGACCAAACCACACAGAGATTCTGTTCCTCCCGACTCCCAGCCTGATCTGAGCTGCGAAGGTGTCGGGTAGGCCAGGAGGAGCAGGATGGGCTCAGCGTCCAGAGGCTGGGTTTGGCCAGCCGGAACCTCAGGGTCGTTCAGGAAAGGGTGGAAGGGCAGACGGAGGGCAGTGCCCCTTCATGCCCCTTCTGAAAACAGACCTCAGCAGTGGGGGTCAGGGTGCTGCACATTCCCCAACATTGATCCCCAGGACTGGGGGAATGGCCTTTTCAGCAGAACAAATGACTATTTGGATTGACTGCGGCGCTACTTAGATTGGAACCGGACAAATCCAGCCTCCGAGGATGGCAGGGACACTGGGCGGCCAACACCCCTCAGGGCGCTCTTGAAGATGGTTGAGATCCTTCAAGGGCCACAGAAAGCGGTGCTGCCCCAGGTACAGCAGTCTTGTCCCCAGGAACGGACCGCAGCTGGGGCAAAGGAATCGCCCTCCTGACCCCCTCCCGCCTTCTGTTTTCTTTGACATTTTTCATGGTTGTGTCGCTAGTGACCAGGAGGCCAGTGAACTGACAGTAGCCTTGGATTCCTTGAGTAAAATTTTTTTGGCAAGGGACACCAGTGCTGAGAAGGCCCAGGGCCCCTCCCCTCCCTTCTGGCAATTCTTGGTGAGTATGAGGCTGGAGGACAGGGTGGTTCTCGGGCCCTGTCCAGAGCCACCAGTCATGCCTGCCTCTGCCCAGGGACTGTGGTTCCGGGGATGGAGCACTTTGGCCCATGACCGCCACGCCCCCTCAGTCCGCCATCTCTCCAGGCCTGTTGAATCCTTTCATTGAACAGGGAAGGGGCTGAGCACTAGACTGGGTGCAAGAGATTCCAAGTTTGACCCCTGTCAGCACCGGTGCTGTGGGCGCTCTGGCCAGCCGAACACTTGGGAGGTCACTGGGGGTTGCCCCTGGCACCCTCAGCACCTCTGGGGAGGCCAAGAGAAAAATTGCAGTAGAGGAGTTCACGAGAATGATATATGCTCTCCCAGTCCCCAAAGAAGTCTGGAAGCACTCATTTAAAAGGGAACTACAAGTAGCATTTTGTGGAATAGAAACACTTTGCTGGTGATCAAAGACAGTACTGCAAAGCAGGGCACTTGCTTTGCACTTGCCGGCTCAGCCCCGGCATTCCATACGGACCCTGAACACCACCAAACAGAACCGGGGATCAGAGAGAGAGTACAGCAGGTGGGTGTAGACCAGGTTCCATCCTCGTCATCCTATTCGGGTCCCCCAAGCCTGCCAGGAGTAACCCCTGAGCATTGCCAGGTGTGACACAGAAACAAAGAATGGTTCTAAGGGACTGGCTACACATGATGAAGTGAGAGACTGGAAGCCCGCCTAACAGTCCTGGCTGTGCGCGTTGCGTCTGTGGGGCGGAGTGGGAGTCAGGGAACTCAGACCCCTGTTCAGTGCCCTCTGCTTTGTCGCGGTGGCTGCGGGCCTGCGCAGGGCCTCACACCTCTGGGCACAGCTCCACACCACTCACCCACACCCCCACTTACGTTGAATTTCTGTAAATCACATTCGTTGCTATTCAGATTCGGTTTTTGTTTGGGGACCACAGCCAGCAGTGCTCTGGGCTGACCCCCGGCTCCGTGCTGGAGGACTCGGGGGACCATCTGGGGCCGTGGTGTCAATCCGGTTCTGTTTCACTATCTGTCCGGCTCGTTTGCTGGTTTCTGTGTCGTGTAAGAGGCTGAATCTAGAATGACTCCTGTCTCCACACCTAACCCTGATCCTGACTGTTCCACAAAGGAATAAAACTTTGAATAATTTTGCAAACTGGAAGGGTATTGGAAGGGTTCAAAGGGTTCAAGCCCCTCAGTAACTCTCCGACTGACCTTTCCCGGCAGACAGCCCAAGCCCACCAGGACCAGAACCACCTAGTTGGGGCCAGGTGACCTGCTGCCATTAGGTTTCTGGCACATTCTCAGCACCCGACTTTCAGGAGATGAGCCTCTTGGTGGCTGGGAGGCGGGGGGGGGGAGGGGGGGGCAGGCACTACCTCCACTTCAGAGATGGGAGGCCAGGCTGCCCATCACGTGGCCGCCCCGGCTGCTCCCTGGGGGTGGGCCTGGAAGGTGCACAGCCCCTGAAGTCTGGCGGGGCCTAAGAGTGAACTTCTTGTTTTGGGGTCGCACCCAGCAGTGCTCAAGGCTCCTCTTGGGTCCATCCCGGAGGATGTTGCTGGGCTCATCCGCCGGGGCTCTCTCTGACTTGTGTGTTCTCTGTCTCTTGGGTTTTGGGGGGATGTTTTTGTTTGGGGGCCCACACCTGGTGGTGCCCAAGGATCACTTCTGGCAGTGCTAGGTCAGACCCAGGTCAGGGCCCCTGTGAGGCCAGTATCTGGCCCTCTGCACCTCCCTCTGGCCAGAGTATTTCTGACTTCCTTGGAGGTGTGAGAGCAAGGCAGGCCTCAGCTGCAGCTAGTTCTGACTAGATTAGCACTGTAGCACTGTCCTCTCGTTGTTCATCGATTTGCTCGAGCGAGCACCAGTAACGTCTCCATTGTGAGACTTGTTACTGTTCTTGGCATATCAGATACACTCGGGGAGCTTGCCAGGCTCTGCTGTGTGGGCGGGATACTCTAGATACAGCTTGCCAGGCTCTCCGAGGGTGATGGAGGAATTGAACCTGGATCGGCCGCATGCAAGGTAAACGCCTTGCCCACTGTGCTACCGCTCCAGCCCCTGACTAGATTAATGAGGGCGAAAACACGCCCTGGGTGTACCTATCTCTTCCCCGAGATCTCGCCTGCTGGTCAGTCACTGTGTTCCACGGAGCCTCTGGCGTGGGGAGTGAGGGTGCGGCCAGGATGTATCTGTGTGGCTTTTAAAGGATAAAGGCTGCTCTTGGGCTTCTGCTCTGTGACAGGCGAGTGGGGGTGGGGAGCCGCTTAGCTTCCTCATTCTGAGCCTGGGTGAGGCTGGGCTTCTGTCCTAACCAGAGTGAGGTGGGAAGTCACCGTAGGTGTGGACTCTTCCACGTGCGCTTCCGGCCCCTTCCTCCCCCTCAGGCCCACTGCTTTTTTATTTGAATGAGACCAGAGAGAGAGCCCAGTTCCCACTCTGCGCTCCCTCCGGTCCCTCTGCAGATGTGAATCTTGCCTTAAGTTCTGCAGATTTGATCCCGTTTCCTGGCACCGGAATGCTCCAGAGGCCGATGTTAAAGTCATTCATATACTTGAGTGAATCTGTTGACCCCTGCAGTTCTGAGCGACCTGGGACTGTGCCTGGGGGTTCTGAATGCAGGTTCCCCTACCCACCAGTTGTCGTGTCCACGTCAGCCCTTGTCCTCCTCCTCTCCCCCGGGGAGTCTGGCGGTGGCTGCAGGGGCGGGTGGCTGCAGGAGCGGCTTCGGAGCCCGGGGTCACTCCCAGTGACACTCAGCGGGACCCCTCCCACGCGAGACCCTCAACACCTGTCCTAGGGAAAGTGTCTGAGACCTCCTAAGGTGGCCACAGCAGCTGCTTGGTGGCCCTCACTGACCCTTCTTGGTGGACACGCGGCCCTGACTCTGCCATCTCAGGCTGCTTCCTTCATGTGTGTGCACTGCAGTGTCCTCATGCACTGTTCAGAATCTGGCAGTGCTAGGTCAGACCCAGGTCAGGGCCCCTGTGAGGCCAGCACCTGGTCCTCTGCACCTCCCTCTGCCCGCGGTACTTGAGGCAGGCTGTGTGGGTCAGACTCCTGCTGCCCTCTGCCCGGCCGGCCTGTGATTGGCTTTGCTTTGGTGCCACACGTGGTGTTGCTCAGGGGTTCCGCCTGCCCCTGTCCTCAGGAAGATGTGCCTGGCGATTCCCGGGGGATGCTGTGGCTCTAACCCTGAGTTCCCTGCTGCACTCACACTCCAGCCCCAGGTTTATTTGCTGTTCGATAAAAATTAAATTATTTTTATGTATCGTGGTCAGCCTCAACCTCATACCTGCTGGGCACGTGCTCTGCTGCTCCTGCTTTGTTTTATTCTTAAGGGAAGGATGGCTGCCGGGACCCTCACTGGCTGCCGGGATCCCCGGGTTCCGTGTTGCTGAGCTCTCCATCTCCCTCCCCGTGAGATACCTCAGGCAGGATTAGCCACACACTGACCCCCCTGAATGACACCGGCTGGGGTGCGGGGCCCAGCTCCCAACGGGCAGGTGCTCCGGTGCTCCTGTTCCCGGTGAGATGGCTCTGGGGTCCCCGCAACCCAGTGAGCGCGGGCGGGCTCCACCTCGTGGATGAGTCTCCCGTGCCCTCGGCCAGTGGCCAGTGTCTCCCTATCTTCCTTCCATCCTTAGCCCCACTCCCGGTGCTCAGGGCTGCTTCTGGCTGGGGACTCACAGCAGTGCTGGGGATCGATTCTAGGTCAGCTGCAAGCACGGCCAGTGGCCCAGCGCCCCCCACCCTGGGGACCTGGTTTTCTCCCTTTTCCAGACCAGCAGCTGCAGTGGTGCGTGGGGGGTCCTGTCACGCTCGTGGGTAGCGGGTCTCAGCCTCCCTCTCAGGAAACGGCGTGGGGATCAGAACTGCTGGGCACTGCAGGCGGCTGCTCCGTGGTCACCTGTGTAGGGCTGGGAGTGCAGGCGTGGGCAGGTCTTGGTGCTGCTGACCTCAAGTGGCACTTCCGGGGAGGCTGGGCCTGCCCCTGTCGGCAAGGGAGGCTGAGGGTTTCTGCTTCATTTAACACGCAGTTTCACATCGTGCCAGGATCCGTGTCCACGTAACTGACCGTCTTCAAGTGACGCCTTTTACAAATGAGCTTCTAACACAGTGCATTGCCTGGGTGGCTCCCGGGACCGTGCACAGGCCGTGGCTGATGTGTTCTTCTCCCCTTGTATTTGTAGGTGTTGAATGAAGAATGTGATCAGAACTGGTACAAGGCAGAGCTCAATGGCAAAGACGGCTTCATTCCCAAGAACTACATAGAGATGAAACCACATCCGTAAGTCGGGCTCCAGGGCACGGCCAGGGGGCTGGAGAGTGCAGGGGGCCGGCCCTGGCCATGTGTGCAGCCCATCCTGGGTCTGTTCCCTGAGGCCTGCTGGGCATGGCAAGTGCCGCCTCTCCCCAAAATCATGGTCACTGGGAATAAAGATCAGACATCTTGTCTGTCTTCCCAGAGACTAACCAAGCCCATGACTCGAGGTGTAATGGTTAGTGGAGTAGAGGTTCACTGTAGGTGGATGATGCTGTAGTTTTAAATAATGACGGTTTCGGGCCAGGAGTGTTGCTTGGGGGCAGCGCCCTGCCTTGCCTGTATGAGGCCCTGGGTCACCCCAGCACTGCCCAGAGTAAAAGCTTCCTCTCCCTTCCCCACCCCCGTGAGTGGGGACTCACCGTTTAGGACCTGTCAGGACAGTCAGTAATGGCCGGCTAATCAGGCAGCCATGCTGAGGCTTCCAGCTGCTTTCCTCTAAAACCCCAGGCTGGGTGGACCCCGGGCCCGTGACTCTGCTCTGTGGAGGGGACTTACATGTGCTTCTGGGGTAGCTTTGACTCCTTCTGGGCCCAGACTTTTCATCGTTTTGGTTTTTGCTTGGGGACCACAGCCTGCGGTGCACAGGGGTTACTCGCGCCTCTGCACCCAGAAATCAATCCTGGCGGAGCGCGGGGGAAACATGAAATGCCATTGGTGGAGGCCATGTGAGGCCAGTGCGCGCGTGTGTATGTGCGTGTGTGTGTGTGTCACCATTGACACACACACACACACACACACACACACACACCCATGCAGCTGCCCAGTCCAGAGACGGCCACCTCCAGCTCCTGTGGGCCGCAGGCTAACAGACACCCCATACCAGTTCTTAAATGTTAAACACACGGTTCAGAAATGGTACAGCAGCTGCTTGTGTCCTTGCTCAAAGCTGTTCGGGGGCATGGCCTGGAGACAGTGGTCCAGACAGACACGGCTGGGTCCCGGGTGGACGCAGGTTCTGTGGCCACGCAGCCCTCCAGGAGCCTGTCTTCCTGTTGAAGAGAGCCTTCGAGTGGTGCAGGGGTTCCTTTGGCAGATGATAGTTTTTGTGCCTGTACTATCCTGTACCCTTGTAACTGTATGGATTTAATCTCTCCTGCCCAATCTCCCTCACCCTTATAAAGGGGAGGGGGTATAACTGTTACAATTCATTCATTGCTTTTGCACATAATTTTTGGGGGATGGGGGGTGGTGTGTCACATTGGCTGTGCTCAGGGCTGACTCCTGGCTCTGTGCTCAGGGATCCTTCCTTGTGAGGCTTCAGGGACCTTATGTGGTACTGGGGATGGAGCCCGGTTCAGCCCTGTGCCTGGCTAGCGCCCTCCCTGATACACTATCACTGTGGCACAGCAAACATTTCAGATGTTTACTCAGTACCAGTTCTATGTTGGTGGGTGGGGTGACCACACCTGGCCTGCTCAGGCCTCTGGCTCAAGGATCACTCCTGACAAGGTTTAGGAGACCAAGGACCATATATGGGGTGCCAGGGACTGAACCTGAAAGCCTTGGGCCCGGGCCAGCGCCCCCTGTGCCATCACACCAGTCTTGCAGGCAGGCCCACGCCGAGCCGCCTGATGGTACGTGGGCTGACAAGTCACCAATCCGGGTCACTCCAAGGCCCCAGCGGCCGACCTGGAGGGGACTCGAGACCCCTTTCTCATTCTCACAGCTTGTTGGTGGCCTGTGCTTGGGCGCCTGAGAGGGCTTTCGTGGCCAGCATGATGGACTCCGCCGGGCGGGGGGGTTCGTAGGGTGCCATGCCTCCTCTCTCAGTCTGGCCACACGTCATGCCTGCCTGCTCCTTCTGCTCCTTTGTGCTCCAGTAGAACGTCCGGGCTGGTCCTTTTCTCTGGTGAGCCCAGCTGCTCTCCTGCCTCCCCCCCCACCCCCCCACGTCCCCGTCCCCATCCCCGAACTCCCTTCCTTGACAGGCCCTTAGAATCGTGAAACAGTCTTCAACCGGGGGCCCCAGGGAACGGGCTGCTGAATGTGGCAGCTGCGACCCTCAGGTCAGGGTTAGGGCAGGATAGTTAGGAGTTGGGCAAGGGTAGGGTCAGGATCAGCCTGGACCCAGCCATGACAGACCCCCGCGCTTCCTCGTCTTCCTGTTGCAGACGGAGGGGGATAAGGAGCCGCCCTGCAGCAACTCAGGACCTGAGAGCTCGTGGTCGGGCCTGACTGTTAGAATGTGCTGGAAGCTCACTTCCCTTTCTCCCATCTCCTTGGGTGCTCTGGGGACTGGCACTCCCTGGCTTGGCGCTCCCCCCCAGAGGATGGTGGGGGACGCGGCTGCTGGGCAGGGGCAGGGCACCCTCACCTTGTGGGCTGGGTCCCCTTGGTGTATCTCCTGCCCCACTGCCCTGCCCGCACGCCCCTCTGGCCGGTCCTGGGGCTACAGAGCTGGGCACAGCCCGAGGACCCCGCCTCCCTCCCCTGCCACCTGCCACCACACTATGGCAGCAGAGTCACTGCTGCCCCTCGTGGGCTGTTGTCCCTGGTTCCTTCTTTACGTGTACTCAAGGGACAGGGAAGGAGCCGCCTGCTGGGGAGGGGTCACAGGCTGCAGGGAAGGCACTTGCCTTGCACGCAGCGGGCCTGAGTTCGATCCCCGGCTCCCCGTATGGTCCCCCAGGAGCAAGACCCCCACCCACCCAGACCGCAGCCTCTGCTCGGAGAGGAAAGTGGGAGAGTCGGATGGTTGCCAGAGGCCCAGCGGCAGCTGCGTCCAGGGCTGCTCCGAAGGCCTGTGTCCACCTCCTGGGCACCCAGGTGTCCTCCTGTGCCCTGTTGCTCTGTCACAAACAGTGGCTGGTCCGAAGGCCACAAGGGGCCTGGATTCCTCCAGGGTCCACGCTAGAACTTTCCGGGGCCTGGAAGATGCTGTGCTGGGGAGCCTGGTCAGCGGCCTCGGCCACCATTGCTGCCCGCGGCCGGCATGCGACACGGGATGCCCCTTCTGTGGTGTTCACGGACTGGCCCTCTTCCGTAGGTGGTTTTTTGGCAAAATCCCCAGAGCCAAGGCCGAAGAAATGCTCAGCAAACAGCGGCACGACGGGGCCTTCCTCATCCGGGAGAGCGAGAGTGCTCCCGGGGACTTCTCTCTCTCCGTCAAGTAAGTGTTGCCCCTTTCGTCCTGTCCCATTTCCCCCCCCCCACCTCCGCCTGCTGGGGCTGATTGGGCTGGGGTCTCCGGCTTCCCTGGGGGCGAGCAGGGGATGGGACAGGAGGGGGACCAAGGACCGAACGTCGGAGAGTCCAGGAGAAGGTAAACATGAGCCCCTCAGAGCCTGGGTGGATGCTTTCTCACACACTGACTCCCATTTCCCTGTCGTCATCTTCCTCTCCCCTGAGAATAGCGTCTCCGGGCTTACAGTCTCAGGTCACTTTCATCATCGGTGGCTTGTTCATTGTGTTATTCCTGTTTGGGGTTTTGGAGTGCAGGGTGATGCTCGGGCTACTCCTGGGAGTCCCCGGGGCTGGGGCCCAGCCTGAGTGTCCCCTTACCTGTGTTCTTGTCTCTGTGACTGTGGACGGTGCCTGGTGCTCCTTGCCATGTTCCCAAGTGCTGGTCCTGGTTTGGTTGGTGCTGGACTTGGTGATTCAGTGATTGTGCAAGTAGGGCCCAGGCAGGGGTACAGGGGTGCACCCCGCGTCTCCACGCGTCTCCACCCGTCTCCTTGCGCTGCATGGAGCCGAGCATCAGTCCGTGTGTGCAGAGAGAGACACAAGTGGAGCCCAGGGCCACGAGCCCTGAAAGACGGCCCAGCCCAGGGCCTTGGCCATCACCCGTGTCCCCTCACCTACTACTGTTCATGACAGCTGCTGCCGTTCCTGCCTCGATGGCACAGGCCCCCTTAGTCCCAGTCATGGCCCCATTCTAGTGCCTGGTCACACGTGTCAAGTTGCCGCATCCAGCATGCCAGGGGCTTCGGCTCATGCCCTGGTATCCCGTACCCGGTGCCAGCCTGGAAGCTCAGTGCTGCCACCTGCTGAGGGCTCCTGGCACAGGAGTGGAAGAAGATCCCCATGATGCGGCTGCCGGGGTTATTTGGGGAGGGGGCACGTCCTGGCTGTGCTTCAGGACCACGTGGAGATTGGACCCCGTCGGCCGCATGCAGGGCAGGTGCCCTCTCCCTGTGCTATGCTCTGGCCCCAGCCCCCCCTTTTGTCCCGAGGGCATTTTCCAGTGGAGCAGCCCGAGACCCCTGGGGGGCCAGTCTCCCGCGCTCCCCCAGTCAGAGCCATTTTGCAAGTGTAGCTGAGGCTCCCTCCAGACCTGATGGGGGCTTCTCGGGGGTCCACCCCCACATCCACCAGCCCGCGCTCCCTGCCACCCCAGGTTCGGCAACGATGTGCAGCACTTCAAGGTTCTCCGGGACGGGGCCGGCAAGTACTTCCTGTGGGTGGTGAAGTTCAACTCCCTGAACGAGCTGGTGGATTACCACAGATCCACATCCGTGTCCCGGAACCAGCAGATCTTCCTCCGGGACATCGAGCAGGTGCCTCAGGTGAGCTCGGGGTGGTCCCTGGGGGCCACTGGGACCCTGGGCTTGGGCCACGGTCACAGCTCACGTTTGACCGAATGTGGTGGGATCCAGCAGAGCTGTCTCTGCCCGTGTGCATGTGTATGCATGCGGCATGTCCATGTCCGTGTGCCGTGTGCGTGTATGTATGTGCATGCGTGTGTGTGCATGCAGACCCTGTGTGCCCACGTTGGCCCGGCCGGCCAAGTGCAGCATGTCCTCCCGCCTCTCCACAGCAACCCACGTACGTGCAGGCGCTCTTTGATTTTGACCCCCAGGAGGACGGCGAGCTGGGCTTTCGCCGGGGAGACTTTATCCACGTCATGGATAACTCGGACCCCAACTGGTGGAAGGGGGCTTGCCACGGGCAGACGGGCATGTTCCCCCGCAATTACGTCACCCCCGTGAGCAGAAACGTTTAGGAGCCGAGAAGAGGGTATTTAAGGAACGTGAGACGCTGCCGACGCGTACACATGAATTCGCTCCCCGAGCTGCGGCTCCCGGCAGCTGGAGGGAGGCCGGAGCCGCGCGGGGGCGCCCGGGACCCTCTCACTTTGGTTGGAACTTGGGGTGGGGTGGGGTGGGTGGGGCCGTTGGATATAAAAATGCCAAAACTTACCTATAAATTAAGAGAAGAGTTTTTATGACAGATTTTCACCGCTGCTCCCTCCTGGTCTCTCCCTTTCTCCCCTGTCCCTGTGCATGAAGTTGCTGCCGCATATAGTCCTAGCCGATGCCAACAATAAAGCGAAAGAAACCAAGCGGGCTGGTATTTTCTCTCTGCCACTGTCTGGGGCGGGGCCCGCCCCGACCACCCCCCACAGGAGAGGCCGGGGCTCGGCACGGGTCCAGGGGACAGGATGGGCAAGACAAGATGGATCTGATCTGCTGGTCCAGAGCCTTTGACCCGGACCCTGCTCTGGAACCCCTCCCCAGGGAGCTGGGCTGAGCCGAATGCCAGGCGAGCCCCACTGGCCACTCGTGGACATGCCCAGGGTGTGGGGCTCCCACAGGGGAACGCGGCTCTGGCTGGCCCAGAAGATGGGGCTCCTGGGAAGGGAGTCTCAGGCCTGGTCTGCCCCCTCACCCCCCCCCCCCCAGCAGACCTGCTCATAGGGAGACCCATCTGCTTTCCGCCCCGGGCGCAGGCTGAGGCTCTGCTTTGTTTTTCTGTCCTGACCCACGCCACCCCTGCCAATTGCGCCCCCTCAGTTCCTGGTGGGCTATTGGGCCACCCCCCAGGAACAGGGGTCGCCGGAGCCCACCACGTCAGCTGCCCGCCCTCTGAGCCTCTCCATCCCCCTCCTTGGCGACTCCGGGCGGCCTTGGGACTGGCTGGTCAGCACCTCCGCCCGCAGGTGCCTCCCGCCCAGTCAGCCTGCCCAGGCCCGCCCAGCGCTGCCTCCCGACTCCAGCACGGGGCGGTCAGCAGTTCAACCCGGTGTATATCATGAAGCCTTGCTGAACTCAGTTTTGTGTGTATATATTTTTTAAAAATCAGTGTTTAAATAAAAAAAAAAACCTATGTACTTAATCCTTTAACCGCGGACGGCATTCGGTAGGTAGTGATTAACTGTGAATAATAAACACGATGAATTCACACTCCGCCTCCGGGCTTCTGTTCCTGCGCCCAGCCTGCAGAGGCTGTCATGCGGGAGCTCAGCTGGGAGTTCTCCAGGGGACCGAGTGGTGGGGGCTACAGGGGGCAGCGGCTGCAGGCCCAGAGCGGGGGGGGGGGTGGTTTTGGAGTCGCCCCTCGCACCCCATCCCTGAGGTGGCCCTCAAGAGGCCCAGCTTGGGGCTGGAACAATAGCACAGCGGGTAGGGTGTTTGCCTTGCATGTGGCCGACCCGGGTTCGATTCCCAGCATCCCATGTGGTCCCCTGAGCACCGCCAGGGATACTTCCTGAGTGCAGAGCCAGGAGTAACCACTGTGCATCGCCAGGTGACCCAAAAAGCAACCAAGAAAAAAAAAGGCCCAGCTTGCCCCGTCCCACCGTGAGCGTGAGCCTCGAGAAATTCCCCCTGACTTCAGGCGAGTGCCGCAGCCTCTGTGCGCTGGAGAGGGGGTCTCACTCCCCTCTGTGGTGCCCAGGGTTCCCCTGCTGCTGTGCTCTGTACCCTGTCCACTCCCACCCTAGTGGCTACTGCGGGCAAGTCGGGAGGGTCACGGGTTACAGGGTGTGGCGCCCTGCGCAGGGAGCTGCTTCCTTAGGGGGCCTGAGCAGAGAGCCCCAAGAAGGGCCCAGAGGGCAGGATTGAGGTCCTGGAGCTGTTGGGCACAGCCTGGGGTGCGGGTCCCGCTTGCCCGGGGCCTCCTGAGTCTAATTTTAGGGTCTCAGCCTTGTCTTGAGGTTTGTCCCCTGCTGAGACCAGCAGCGCCGAGACTGCCTCCGGTTGGGAGTCAGTGTGGGCCAGCTGGGCTTGAATGCGGGGCCCCTCCAAGAGGACTATTGGGGTGCTTGCATACCCCCTCGAGAATGAACTCTGAGGTCCCGTCCATGCGGGCACCTGGGACAACAGCCTGGGAGCCTCTGACACGAAACCCCTTGTCCTGTGTGTGGGGCTGCGCATAGAGGCCTGGGAGCCCATCAGCCCCCGACCTCGGGATCTGGAGGGTACAGCTGGGGAGAGAGCGCTGCAGGGACAGAGGATGCTGGGAAACTGGAGGGGTCCTGGGGGCTTCATGGGCAGCATAGGACTGACCACTTGAGAACCTGGGGACGGGCAGCTGCTTCGTGCACAAGGCCGGTGGCGGCGACACAGGACGACCACCAAAGACCCACAGTGCTGCCCGCGGCTCTGCGTCACAGCATCACTGCTGGAGTTCCAGGAGATCTGAGAGTCCAGCGAAGCAGCCCGCTGGGCAGACACAGGAGAGGATCACCACCACGCCCAAGCCCACCCTGCAGCCTCAGGGAGCCCCAGCCCAGCACCTCGGGCTGCTTTTGCCCTTCCTGCTGCCTCTGCTGTCTGGTGTGCCAGCGAGGTCCCCTCTTGGCCTCAGAGAGCCTCCCAAAACATTCCTGGGCACCTTGGCCAGCCCGAGTCCTTCCCTAGACCCCTGCCCAGCCACCACAGGACATAGGGCCCCAGCCTGGCTTTCGGTCCACATAGCAGATTCACCATAAGGCCAGTTGTAATGTCGAGGCCCCTGCGCACCTTAAAGTTTTGGTCGGAGTGCACATGAATGGCATCCCGGGCCCAGGAGTCATGCCTGTACCTCATCAAGGGGAACACGGGGTCACTGTGATGCCATTCAGAGACCAAACACTCGGTTCCACTCAGAATCCACAGCTTTGGTACTGGGCACCATTGAGTGGATCACACACACACACACACACACACACACACACACACACACACACAGAGCACACACAGATGTAGAGAAAAGTATTACTGGGTCTGGAGCTATAGTACAGTGGGGAGGGTGTCAGCCTTGCACTTGGCTGACATGGGTTCGATTCCCAGCATCCCATGTAGTGCCCTCACGCACCGCCAGGAGTAATTACTGAGTGCAGATTCAGGAATAACACCTGAGCATCCATCACTGGGTGCGACCCAAAATGCAAAATAAATACTGAAAAAGAAAAGAAAACTGTGTGACTGAGGTGGAATGAGCACACACGCGGCATGGGAAGTGGCTCCAACAGGTTTGGTCCAGGTCAGATTTCCCCATGGAACCGTGGTAAAGCAGGTAGAGGCCCAGCCAGTGCTGGTAGTACCTGAAGCTGAGGCCTGGGGTTCCTAGCATCGGGATTGGTTAGGGAACGTAGCAGCCCCAGCCCTGCGATACAGCCAGGACAGGCCCCCGCGCCCCCCTCAAACACACACTAGCTCAGTGTAAGCACCTGCCCTGTATGTGGAAGGACCTGGGTTAGATGCCCGGCACAGGAAGAAAACAAGGTACTGAATGTTCCGGGTGTTACCACTGAGCCCAAGCGTGCCAGACAGGGCCCATGGAGGAGCCATGTGACTATGGTGGGTGCAGGGATTGGGGGACACTTGATTTCTCCAAAATCACAGGGACTAAGAGCTAATCTGACAAGTTGGTCGGTTGCTGGAGAGGGAGAAAAGGGTCCTGGGCTGAAGAGGAACCAGCATGCAGAGCCCAGACCAGTGACCCACAAGGCCCCAGAAGGAGTCGCAAGTGGGAGCCCTGGGGAGTGAGCCCTGTGGGTTTCGGTGTTTGGGGGCCACACCTGGCAGTGCTCAGGGCTTGCTCCTAGTGTTGTGCTCAGGGATCACACCTGGCAGACCAAGGGGCCAGAGGGATAGCATAGTTGGGTGGGCATTTGCCTTGCATGTGGTCGACCCAGGTTCGATCCCCGAGACCCCAGGTGGTTCTGCAAGCCCTGCCAGGAGTGAGCCCTGAGTACAGAGCCAGGAGAGATTCCTGAGCACAGAGTCAGGAGTGAGCCCTGAGCACAAAGCCAGGGGTGAGCCCTGAGCACCACCGGGTGTGGCCCAAACCCCCCGCCCACCACCTCCACCCAAGAAAAAGAAAAAGGAACTCAGGACCACGCCCAGTGGCCGATGGGGGAGAGTGAACCCCGAAAGTTGGGCCCTAGCCTTCCCCCTGCAAACTGGGACCCTTCCTCTGGGCTGACATCAACCCTGCCTGCAGCCTCTTGGCCTCTGGCCCTCTGAAACTATGAGAGACAGTGGAACTTTGTACAAAATTGACTCCTGGACTGGCTGGACGGTGAGACCTGTCTCTCTCCTAGGTGGGAGGGCGGCAGTTCGGTCACTGCTGAGTGACTCTGAAAGGAGGGAACGGAAGTGGCTCGGAAGTGCCTCTATCTTGGGCGCCTGCAGCAGGGCCTAACTTCCTCCAGAAACTTCCACTAAAACTCACTCTTCTTTCCTTTTCTCAAAATGATAGCCCTCGAGACCAAAAGAGCCAAAATGGGAGTGTCGGAGGCCCAGACCCACCCGGGTATTTATAGCAGCTCTGTCATTGCTAAAGCTTGGAAAACCCCAGGATGTCTCCAGAGGTGCAGGGACCAGACAGCCGGACAAAAGCAGAAGCACTGAGGAGCTGGCCATGTGGGGAGCTCAGAGACACAGTGAGGAGGGGAGAAATTCTGGTCCTGTAGCCTGAGCCTCTGAGACATTGGCAGCCATGGGGACACCCGGAAATACTGGATGGGAGCAGAAGCTTCAGCTCACCTGGACCATAAAGAAGGGGCCAGAGCCAGAGACACAGAGAAAGAAGACAGGAGTTAAAACATTTGTCTGACTGAGTTTTATCTCCTGCACTGTCTGGTGTGACAGGAGAGATCCCCAACCACAGAGCCTGTGATCCCAACCCCCAAAGAGAAAGAGAGGAAAAGAAAGAGAAAGCGCGTAGGATAACTATACAAAAGAGAAAGAAAGGAAAGAGGAGAGAAAGAAGATATGAAGGGCGGGGGGGGGGGGGTTGGTGTGATAGCACAGTGGGTAGGGCGTTTGCATTGCATGTGGCTGACCCAGGTTTGATTCCCAGCATCCCATATGGTCCCCCAAGCAGCGCCAGGAGTAATTCCTGAGAGCAGAGCCAGGAGTAAATCTGAGCAAAAGAAAGAGAAAGAAGAAAATGGGCTGGGAGGGATGTACATGTGAGCAGCAGAGCAAGTGCTTTGCAGTGGGAGGTGCTGGTTGGATTCCTAGCACCCCACTCCTCAAAAACTGGTTTGGGCCACATCTGCTGGTGCGTGGTGCCTACTTGGGGCTGTGCTTCGGGATCACTTCTGGCAAGCACACTGCTTGGGCACCACAGGCAGTGCCAGGATTGAACCGAGACCAGCCACATGTAAAGCAACTGCCTTACCCCGCTGTACTAACTCTCTAGGGATTCCACCAAAAAAAAATTTTGTTTTAGGGTCTTAGGGCTAAATTATTGTGTTTTTGTTTTGGTTTGGTTTGGTTTTAGGGCTTTAGGGCGTACTCCTGACTCTGAGCTCAGGGATGATTCCTGGTGGGGATGTGGGACCAAACCAGGTCAAGCGTGTGCAAGTCAATTGTCCACCCCGAGGTACTCTGCCCGGGCCTTCACAGCACGGTGAGGGACCTGAGGCGGAGGGAGGAGGGAGGAGGGGTGGTGCTGGTGCGGGCACAGTTCCTGTCTGATGAGCCCGTTCTCCGTGGCACCAGTGCGGTCAGCCCAGTCATGTGAGAAGGCCGGAAAGCGGCCAGCGGTTCCCAGCAACTTGGGGAAGTGAGTTCTTCGGTTGCCTCGTCTGCACATCGCCCACAGACCCACAAAAAAGCCCTCTGGACTTTCCCCACCTCCTCAGAAGGCGGGCATCTGTCAGCCACCCCCGCTGGGGCTCCCACCCTCCCCTCCCCGCGAGCACCCCCGTCTGCCTTGTCCTGTCCCTGAAGGCCTGGGGGTGTCAGTGCCTTCGGCCTGGACCTCCCCAGAGGTCAGAAGCAGCTTTTCAGCAGAACCCCAGGGGTTCTCTGCTCCACCTGGCATGTTCCTTTGACTCAGGGACACCAGTGCTGTGACTTGTATTAAGTCACATTCATGTATGTGGCAGGACTGCAGCTGCCTCTGGCCCCTCACAGGGCCCCCCCAATTCCCTCCCCCACCCCTGCCCTGATCAAGCCCAGGTGGAGGCATGTTTGTGGGGGACCCCCCTTTGGAGAGATACTCAGGGGCCCACATTTCAGTTGATTGGTCGAGACAGCAAGTGTGGCCAGCTGTACCTAGGGCACATAGGGTGTTTGCCATGAACGCAGCCAACCTGGGTTCAATCCCCAGCATCCATACGGTCCCTCAAGCACCACCAGGAGGAATTCCGCCCTAAGCAGAGAGGTATGAGCTGCCCTTCACCCTTCACCCTTCACCTCTGCATTAGTTCCCTCAAGCAGGACAAGGAGCGACCTCGGATACCCACCACTACCACCAACCCTCCAAGTGTTAATCATAAATAGAATTCATGTTTTATAAAAGGAGCATGGGCCTGAGAGATAGTAGAGGGATGGAGGCACGAGCCTTGCACACAGCTGACCCTGGTTCCTTCCTCAGCACCATACAGGGGCCTCTGAGCACAGCTGGGAGTGATTCCTGAGCACTGGTGGGTCTGGCCCCCAAACAAAAACAAAACAAGCCAAAATGAAGACATGACAGCCAGGAGAGAGTGCAATGGGCTAAAGACACGATTGGCATGCAGGAGGGTCAGGTTCCAGCCCAGTGGGTGGAACGGTGCCCTGGGCACCCCCAGGAGCAATGGGACAGAGTAGCCCCAAGCAGCACAGGACGTTACCCCAAAAACAAATCAGTTGGGGTGTTCAGTCTAAATTCAGTTCAGTCTTTTTTTTTTTTTTACTTCAGGGGCTCCCCTGGTGGTGCTCAAGGCTACACCTGGCAGTGCCAAGACTGAGTTCTTGTCAAGGTGACTCCCACACACTGGTAAAGGCCTAACTTGGGACTGGGCAGCTCTGATTTGCTTTTGGTTTGGGGCCACACCAGGCAGTGTTCAGGACTTACTCCTGGCTCTACTCTCAGGATCACTCTTGGAGAAACTTGGGGGACCCTGTAGGGTATCAGGGATTGAACCCGGGTTGGCCACGTGCAAGGCAAGCACCCTATCCTTTGTATGATAGCTCAGGTCCAATCCCCCTGATGTTCTTTAAAATAGCATATATATATATTATATCTTTTTGTTTTGTTTTGTTGGCTTTTTGGGTCACATCTGGCGATGCACAGGGGTTACTCCTGGATTTGCATTCAGGAATTACTCCTGGAAGAGCTCAAGGGACCATATGGGATGCTGGGGAAACGCCCTACCCGCTGTACTATCGCTTTAGCCCTTAAAATAGCATTTATAGATCAGATAGGGAAATGTCAATTTGATGCTTGATATTAAGAAATCGATCGGGGGCTGGAGAGAGTACAGTGGGTAAAAAGCTTGCCTGGCCTGCGGTCCACCCTGGTCGATCCCCGGGACCCTTTAGGGTCCCTGGAACCCCGCCAGGAGTAAGCCCTGAGCACTGCCAGGTGTGGGCAACAAACCAAACCAAAACCAAAATAACCTCTCTATTCTCCCGTGAACGTCCTACGGACTTTGGCAAGATTTGTTTCAAGTTTAGAGGGTCGGTGTCCCACTACTCAGGGGTTTTGGGGTCAAGTTCAGCGCGCCTCGATTTTGCCCCGCCCACAGGCTCAGCTGAGCCACTCAAGCAGCCCGCAGCCTGATTCGGACCCGCCTTCTTCCGGGTGGCGCTGTGCGCGCGGCCGGACTACATCTCCCAGAAGGCCCCGCGCCCGGCAGGTGGTGGCCCGGCCGCCAGGACTATATTACCCACAGGCCCCTTCGGAGAGGCGTTTGCTGAGTGTCCAGGGCGTGACCAGTGACCCGGCGACTGTCGGAAGCCGCGGCGCGATTGGCTCGGAAATCTGTCAGTTACGGCCCCACGCAGTTGGGTTTTGCTGTTGGGCAGTGCCTGGAGGGAGGGAGAGAAGGAACGTTAGGAGCCGCGAGTGGAGGCGCGTCCTGCAACCTGTGAGTGACCTCTACTCCGCCCTCCCGGCGGGGTGCTCGGGTCCTCTGTCCGGGGCGTCGCGCGGGGCGGCCACTGCGCACACGTGTCTCGCCTCTCCGAGCAGCGCCCGCGGGGCCGCGGGGGGCAGAGCCTGCTCTGCAGGCGCCTGCCGTCTCCTCGGCACGTCGAACCCAGCTCGGGGTGCTGCACCCGTGTCCACGCGCGAGGCCGTCTGCGGAGCCCCGCCACCCGGCACTCCTGCCCACGCTCCCTGCGCGCCCGAACTCGGGGGCCTCCACACAACTGCGGACTGAGTCGGAGGAGCGAGCAGTCTCACACCCACTCCAGCGCCCGCTGCCGGTGAGTACCCACGCCATGCCTATAGCCACTGCCATGTCTAGAATCAATGCCATGCCTGTGACCAGTGCCATGTGTGTGACCAGTGCCGTGCCTATAACCAATGCCATGCCTATGATCAATGCCATGCCTTTAACCAATGCCATGGCTATGATCAGTTCCATGCCTATAACCAATGCCACGCCTGTGATCAGTGCCCTGCCTATAACTAATGCCATGTGTATAATCAATGCCATGCCTATAACCAATGCCATGCCTGTGATCAGGGCCCTGCCTGTAACTAATGCCATGCATATAATCAATGCCATGCCTATGATCAATGCCATGCCTATAACCCATGCCATGCCTATAACCGATGCTATGCCTGTAATCAGTGCCATATCTGTGATCAATGTCATGCCTGTAACCCATGCCATGCCTATGATCAATGCCGTGCCTATAACCAGTGCCATGCCTATAACCCGAGCCATGCTTATGATCAGTTTTCTTCTTTCCTCTTTAGATAAACTTCTCCAAGTCTTGTTGGTACAAGAAAGACATTTGGAACCAGCAGGAAAAGTAAGGCCAGCGCGAATTGTATGTACTCAGCCTTTCACCTGTGGAATGGCTGTACACACCTAGGAGTGCTTAGGGCTCAACCCCGGAATGGCCCCAACCCTTCCAGCTCTTCCGTGCCCCCTGCTGTGCCCCACAATGTTCTTTGGTATGTGTGTGAGGGGGTCACACCCTCTGCAGTGCTCAGTGCCCCTCCTGGCATTGTGCTGGGGGCATGGTTGGTTCCTGGTAGTACTGAGGGCGCCGTGCATGTATCTTCAGGGGTTGAGCTCCGGGCCACCTGCATGCAGAGCACACACAGAGACCAGGGCTGACTCTGGCCCCCATTTTCCCTTTTTCTTCTGGGACGGCGGAGGTGGAGGGTGACTGGGGTTTGGTAATGCTCAGGGCTTACTCCTTGCTCTGTGCTCAGGTATCACTTCTGGCAGGGCTCCAGGGAATCTCTGTGGTGCTGGCATCAAACCGGTTCAGCTGCCTACAAGGCAGGAGCCTTATCCACTGTGCTATCTCTTTGACCCCAGATTCTCCCATTTTTGAAAAATTTTGAAAAATACACATGGCTTCTCCCGTGAGCAGCCGCCTGGACTAGGCAGGGCAGACCTCAATCCCATTTTCTAGCAAACCGAGCCCAACCTGGGGAAATAGTTTCCCCCACACCGTCCCTTGAGCAGGGCATGGCCCCACAGGCCCCCAGCATGGTTGGGGTGACCTATGTGTCCCAAGCACTGTAGGTCTGGAGCAAAATCACTTCTGTGGACCCTTACATTGCAATCCTGGTGCAGTTGACCGAGAGTCGCCATTGGTGCCCTCAAATATCCTGAACAAAAAGGGAGCCTAGGCTAAATCAAGCTGCTCAGGTACATCAAGCGGAATGTAACTCAGAGGTTTAAACTTGCCTTTACAGAATCATTTGTAGCTGTACTTCCTTCCCCCTGCAGGGGGCAGTGTGACAAAGCCGTCTCCAGGAGGCACCTGTGGTCAGGAGCCCAGGTTGTTTATTTTGGTTTTGTTTTTTGGGTTTGTTTGGTGTGGGTTTTTTTTTTTCCACTTTTGAGGATCAACCCAGCAATGCTCAGGGGTTACTCCTGGCTCTCCATTCACTCAGGAATCACTCCTGGTGATGTTCAGGGGACCATATGAAATGCAGTGCCATTGTTCCAGCCCTGGTGTCCCAGGTTTAAACACCTTCCCAGGTCCTGAGCTGGACACCACAGAGTGCTCCAGTCCTTGGAGCATTTCCCTTGCCTGGAATAAGCCTGTTTTTAAATTTGCTTTTGTTAGGTCACCTGGCGGTGCATAGGGCTAACTGTTGCCTGGCTCTGGTGGTCAGGGGATCCTGTGTGATGCTGGGGATTGAGCCAGGGTCACCCAAGAGAAAGGCAAACGCCAACTTCCCTATACTATCTCTCCAGCCCCTGCGTTTTCATTTCTGCATATTTTGTGGTGCTGTGGATTAAGCCCAGAGTCTCAAACACACTGGACATGTGTTCTACCACCGACTCACATCCCCAGCCTGACACTTTGCATTTTATAAGCCAAAACCTGAGGAGATGCTAGAAGAACCTATGTGAAGTGGAAAATCTTAAGATGATGTTTGTCTCTGTTTGGTTTTGTTTGGGGAGGGTCATACCTGGTGGTCCGAAGGGCTCACTCCTGGCTCTGCACTCAGGGATCGGGATCACTCCTTGTGGTGCCAGGAAGACAACACAAAATATTTTTTTTTCTGTTTGTTTTTGTTTGGAGGCCACACCCAGCAGTGCTCAGGGATCATTCCTGGCAGGGCTCAGAGGATAATATGGGGTTCAGGAATTCAAACCTGGGTGAGCTGTGTGCAAAGCAAAGGCCCTACCTGTTGTGTTCTCTCTCTGGCCCTTAACGTGGTTTTTTTTTTTTTTGCTTTTTAGGTCACACCCAGCAGTGCTCAGGGGTCACTCCTGGCTCTGCACCCAGAAATCACTCCTGGCAGTGCTCGGGGACCCTATGGGATACTGGGAATCAAACCCGGGTCAGTCACGTGCAACCCCCAAAGGTGGTAATTTTTTGGGAGGGTCACACCCATCAGTGCTCAGGGGTTACTCCTGGCTCTGCATTCAAGAATCACTCCTGGCAGTGCTTGGGGACCATATGGGATGCTGGGGATCGAACCCGGGTTGACTGCGTGCAGGGCAAACGCCCTCCCCCCTGCACTATCGCTCTGGCCCCCGGTAATTTTTTTTTATAGGAGTACTATTATTTATTCAGCCACTGATTATCTGATTGAATGGGCATGAACTCCACCTTTTTTTTTTCCATAATTTTTTTTCTTCTTATATTTATTTATTGAATCACTGTGGGAAAAGTTACTAAGCTTTCAGGTTTAAGTCTCGGCCATACAATGATCAAACACCTCTCCCTTCACCAGTACTGATTTTTCACCACCAAGAACCCCAATATACCCCCCTCCCACCCCTCCCAATGCCTGTGAGGCAGATGATTTCCACTTAACTCTTCTCTACACTGATTACATTCATTGTTTTGACAAAAGATGCACCATTATTGTTGGAATTTCCCCCCCAACAATCAGAATTGCTGAAAAGGCATTGTGAAATACTTTGTTTTCTATAGCTGGTTATGAGAATCCATACAATCTCGCGTGGCCGCAATAGCAGCCTCGCGATTTTGGATTTCTGCAAAGAGCCAGATAATTACGAGATTGTTTTCTGTGCATCTGGTGTTATGGCTGTGCCGGAGAGCCGCTTGTGGGGGGCAACTTGTGACCTCAGTAGGGCGTGAAGGACGAGTTGGTACCGCCCCCCTTCCCTTGAGACTGCAGTTGCCCCGTCACCGCCAGCTCATACCTGGCTTTCCTATAAGCTCTGAGGCGGCAACCACCTTGCTGCCGGGCGGGAAAAAGGCGGAAGGGAGTAACACCTTGTCCTCCTGGAGAGGCGTGGTGCCATAGTTTAACGCATGGTCCATTTACTTTTCTGCCGCAAGCTGCCGGGCTCTGGATTAAGTCCTTTTGCCTCTGGAGCCATGGTCGTGCCAGAGAGCTGCTTGTGACCTCACACAGCGACCACCTTGTATGTGGTCCAGATGCATTTCTGCCAAAAGCTGCTGGGTTTCGAGATTTGTTTCCGAGTCTCTGGGATCATGGCCATTAATTTGCTTGATCAGGAGCCAGAGAGGCCATTTGTAGGCAGCGGCTCGGGGACTCGCTGGGGTGGGGAGGAAAAGGGCTGGTTCCAACCCCATCTGGTGAGGCCCCGTGTGTCTCGTCAGTGCAGGCCCAAACCTGACTGTCCAGTGTCCTCTGGAGGATGGTGGTCACCGGGCCACTAGGGGGAACAGGCCAAGGCACGAAGCCTATTCCCACCTGGAGTGGCCCAGCGCCAGTAACCTACTGCAGGAACAGGACGCATTTCTGCCAAAAGCCTTTGGGTTTCGAGATTCGTTTCTGAGTCTCTGGAATCATGGCCATTAAGCAGTTCAATCAGGAACCAGAGAGGCCATGCCTCCAATGATATACCTGAGCCGGAGGTGGTTTGTGCGTGTGTCTCCCACATACCTAACTTTTGGCTGTTTACTTTCTTGGTAAACTTTGCCCCAAGTTTTTGGGGTCTGGCCAAAGGCACAGCAGCAATTTTGGGGTATCTGAAAGTCTGACGGTGGCAGCAGGCTGCTGATGCACTCGCCTCACAGGCACAGATTGACCTGCTGGCAGCACCATACCCCCAGTAATTTTTTTTTTACCTCTCTTTCTACAAGGTCACTGTTAACTCTCTCATCTAAAGGAACGCACAGTGTAGAGCTGGGAGTAACCCCTGAGCATTGCCTGGTGTGACCCAAAAAGGCAAAATGATAAAAAGAAAGAGAAAAGAACTCAGGGAGGACCAGGGCAGAAGCACAGCAGGGAGGGCATTTGCCTTGCTCTTGGCCAACTTGGGTGCTATCTCTGGCCCCACACAGGGTCCCCAGAGCTCCGCCAGGAGTGAGCCCTGAGTACTGTCTGTGGGACTCAGAAACAAAGACAAAAGTGAAAAGTTCTTTAGGGGCTGGGAGTCAGGACCAGGCCTGCATGCTCCCAGCAGGAGCGCCAGACTCCATCCCTTGCACCACACAGCCCCCAGAACTGTTGGGGTGACCCCCCACCAGTGCGGGGACAGATCCCAAAGCAACACTAGATGTGGCCCTAAAACCAAAATTCAATTAAATAACTTGGGGGGCCGGAGCGATAGTACAGCAGGCAGGGTGTTTGCCTTGTATGCGGCTGACCCGGGTTCAATCCCCAGCATCCCATATGGTCCCCCGAGCACCACCAGGAGTAATTCCTGAGTGGAGAGCCAGGAGGAACCCCTGAGCATTGCTGGGTGTAACCCAAAAAGCAAAAAAAAAAAAAAATTAAATAACTTGGTCTTCACTCACTTATTCACTACTTTTTCTTTTTCTCTCTCTAGTTTTTTGGTTTTTTTTTTGTTTGGGGGCACACCCGGCAGTGCTCAGGGGTTCCTCCTGGCTCTGCACTCAGGGGTTACTCCTGGCGGTGCTGGGTGGGAGTAGGAAGCATACGGGATGGTGGGGATCGAACCCGGGTTGGCCACGTGCGAGGCAAGTGCCTTAGCTGCCGTACAACTGCTCTAGCCCCAACTAATTTTCTTGTAACTTATCTCAGTTATTATTATTTTTTGTTTGTTTTGGAGCCACATTCACTGATGCTCAGGGCTCACTCCTGGTGGGCTCAGGGCTTTATAGGATGCCAGGGATAGAACCCTGGTTGGCCGCATGCAGGGCAGGTGCTAGCAAGTACTATCTCTCTAGCCCCTTATTTTTCACTAAGGCCCTACTGGCGGTGCTGGGGCCCAGGAGGGCGGAGAGGGAACACAGAGACTTACGTGTTAGATATGTCCCACCACGTCAGCCTCTCCCCACACTCATTGGCTTAGTTTTGGTGGGCCGGGGGTATTGGGCCACACTCGGCAATCAATACTCAGGGGCTATTCCTGACTCTGTGCTCAGGGGTGACCCCTGACAATGCTCAGGAGACCCTGTGTGGTGCCAGAGAGTTAACCCAGCGTGTCCCTCAGGGAATGTAAACACACACACACACACACCATAGCACGTCCCTCAGGGAATGCAAAGACACACAGACATACACAGACACACACACACACACACACACACACACACACACACACACAACACTCTCTTGCTATTAGTCTGAGGAGGGCCAGGCCAGGCACAAGCGCGCACACACACACACACACACACACATCTCTCTTGCTTTAGAGCTGAGGCGCGCCAGGTCAGGCTCCTGCAGAAGACCCTTGCGGTATTGGAGAGATGGTGTTTCTTACGGGGAGGAGACATGCACACACACACACACACACACACACACACATACACACACACATACACACATATACACACACATCCTCTCTTACTTTAGAGCTGAGGAGTGCCAGGTCGGGCTCCTGCAGAAGCCCCCTGCGGTGTTGGGGACATGGTGTGTCTTGCGAGGAGGGCTGGGGTGAAGGCCCTGATGGGGTCCCGGGGTGCTGGGCCAGCTGAGCCCACAGGCTGTGTGCTGTGTGTGTGTGACCTGCATCACGGCCACCTGTCCCTGTGTTGTTGCACAGCCCTGGTCATGCTGGGGAGGGGTCACTTGGTGTGGGGGCCACTGGCTGAGGGGTTGGGCTCTCTAGGGCTCTGGGGACTAGGGGGGTAGGGGGGCACCCTTTGACCCTGGAAACAAGACGTGCAGGGGTGAGGCCCTAAGGTGGGAAATAGCTGGAAACTGGGAGAGGAAGGAGAACAGGGTAGAGGAGGAGGATGTGAAGAGGCCGGTGGGTTGGGGGGCCTGGGAGCAGCATGTCAGAGTGTAGCGCGCCCTCTGCACCCTCCCTCTATGGCAGACAGGCCTGTGGGTGCAGAGGGAATGGGAAGGGGAAGGGGCGCCAAGGGGTCAGGCTCGGACACTTCCTATGGGCACGGTGCCCGAGGGTCCCCACTCACACTCTCTCGGGTGTCCTGGGAAGAGCTGCGGTCTTAGTGGTAGGATTGGTGTTGGAATATTGAATGTAGTTCATTATTGTGAACAACTTTATAAAAATAAAATAAAGCTGGGGGGAAAATTTTTTTTTTTGCTTTCTTTTTGGGTCACACCCAGCGATGCTCAGGGGTTACTCTCGGCTCATGCACTCGGGGACCATATGGAATGCTGGGAATCGAACCAGTATCGGCCATGTTGGCTGCGTGCAAGGCAAACGCCCTACCCGCTGTGCTATCGCTCCAGCCCCAGAAAATATATTTTAAAAGGCTGTGGTCTTAGGGGTTCTGTTCTGGCCCCACAAGCTCAGGGGTGGCCAAATGATACCATAACCATGTTCTGAGGGATGGGGGTGGGCAGGGGGGACCGGAAAGGGATGTGCAGGACAAAGGTCCAGGCTGTGGGTCTGGGTGAGTGAAAAAGTGGGGCAGAAGGAGGGACATGGGGGGCTTGGGGAGGCTGTGGCCTGAGCCTGCGTGTGGTCATATAGGCTGCTGCTGCCTGGGTTCGAATCCTGAGCACAGAGCCAGGACTCAGCCCTGAGCACCACCACATGAGGCCCCCCAAACACACACACACACACACACACACACACACACGAGACGTGTAGGGGTGGGGGCTGCCGGGGACGTGGCGCAGTGGTAATGCATGTGCCTTGCCTGCCTGAGACATGGGTTCGAGCCTCAGTACTGCCAGAAAAGGGAGGGGTGGGGGGAGGGACTTCAAACTGGTCTTCAGAGGGGAGTGTCGGGTGGGGTGCTGGCGCGGACCCCCACCTGTGTCTCTGTCTCTCGCATCTAGCTCCAAGCTGATGGACATCGTGTAGCCATAGCCAGGGATGGTCGGCTACGACCCCAAGGCCGAAGACAGGACAGTGTCCAGCGTGCAGGTGGCAGTGGCCGGCTCCATGGCCGGGCTTATCACTCGGGCGCTCATCAGCCCCATGGACGTCATCAAGATCCGCTTCCAGGTATGCTCTAGCCCCTCGTCCTGCCCTCCCTGGCCGCTCCCCTCACACCGTGGGCCTGATCGCGCCCATCCCGGTTCTTAGCTGCAGGTGGAACGTCTGTCCCCCAGGGACCCCAGAGCCAAGTACCACGGCATCCTGCAGGCCGCGAGGCAGATTCTGCGGGAGGAGGGCCCCAGGGCCTTCTGGAAGGGACACGTCCCGGCCCAGCTGCTCTCTGTGGGCTACGGGGCGGTGCAGGTAGGCACGGGGCAGGGAGTGGGCAGCAGGAAGCCCACCGCTCACTTCTCGCTGCGGGGGCTGATTCCTGTCCTGGCTGACTATTAGGGCCCGGGGTTGCCCATGCTCTCAGGACAGCTGCCCCTGCCGGGGGCTGGAGGACAGGCGTGCCCGCAGGAACTCAGGACATGAAATTACTGCGGAGAATTGTCTTGGAGGAGCCAGATGGGGGCTGGGACCACACCCAGTGGTGCTCAAAACTTACTCTTTATTCTGCCCTCGGAGGTCACTCCTAGTGGGGCTCGGGTGACATGTGGGGTGCCGGACTTGAGCCTGGGTGTGCCAAGCTAGCAGCTTACCTACCCTTACTCTTGCTCTCACCCAAAACATTTTTTTTTTTTTGTTTTGAGGTCCACACCTGGCTGGGACTATATACTGGCTAGGGATTAAACCTGGGGGGAGTGGGGGAGCTCTCCTGGAAGGATTTTTTGGTATAGAATTTCTCTCATGTTTTTTCTTTGTTTGTTTGGTGTTTTGTTTTCTTATTTTGGGCCATACCCAGGAATGCTCAGTGGTTCCTCCTGGCTCAGTACTCAAGAATCACTCCTGGTGTCCTTGGGGGACCCTATGGGATGCTGGGGATTGAATCCATGTCAGCTGCGTGCAAATGCCCTCCCCGTTGTGCTATCACTCTGCCCCACCCCACCCCCCGCCCCGTGTTACAGTCTTGGGCCCTTTGGCCCATTAAGCATCTGATAATGTGGATTTGGTGCACACGGCCGTGGGTACGTCCCTGTTCTCCTCAGGGGCTTCTGGTAATGGGGGGCCCCTCCAGTGATGCTGTCGCTGCTCTTGCAGTTCATGTCCTTCGAGATACTGACTGAGCTGGTGCAGAAGAGAGGCAAGGAGCTCAGCCCCAACAGATTCTCAGTGCACTTCCTGTGTGGCGGGCTGTCGGCCTGCATGGCCACCCTCACCGTGCAGCCCGTGGACGTCCTGCGCACCCGCCTAGCAGCCCAGGGGGAACCCAAGGTGAGTGGCCGGGAGCCCCACCCGGGAAGTGCTCTTGAATTGTTGAATTGTTTGTTTGTTTGTTTTTGTCTTTTTTTTTTTTTTAGAAAATAGAAAATTTTAGGGCTGGAGCAATAGTACAGTGGGGAGGGCGCTTGCCTTGCGTGTGCCCAACCGGATTTGATCCCCGACACTCCATATGGTCCTCTGAGCCTGCCAGGTGTGACCCTAAAATAAACAACGATAAAATAGAAAGGTTTATTGAAAAGTAGGAGAGGGGCTAAAGAGATAGTACAGTGGGTAGTGCACTCACCTGCACACAGCTCGGCCCCCAGCACCCCAGGTGGTCCCCTGAGCCTGCCAAGAGTGATCCTGGAGAGCACAGAGCCAGGAGTCAGCCCTGATCACTGTCAGGTGAGACCAAAACAAAAATAGAAGTAGGAGAGAAAGAAACTCCTCATCTGGGGAGAAACTTAGTATAAGACTAAGATCACTGTAGCACTGTAGCATTGTCCTCTCGTTGTTCATCGATTTGCTTGAGCAGGTACCAGTAATGTCTCCATTGTGAGACATGTTGTTACTGTTTTTGGCATATCGAATACGCCACGGGGAGCTTGCCAGGCTCTGCCATAAATAAACTTGACTAATTAAATAAAGTTGCTGGAAATAAACTTGCTGTAAAAAAAAACTTGACTAAGATCTGTAGGACTGGGGCTGGAAAGATAGCACAGCGGGTAGGGCACTTGCCTTGCACACAGCCGACCCGGGTTCGATTCCCAGCATCCCATATGGTCCCCTGAGCACCGCCAGGAGTAACTCCTGAGTGCAGAACCAGGAGTAACCCCTGTGCATCGCCAGGTGTGACCCAAAAAGCAAAAAAAAAAAAATCTGTAGCACTGTAGCACTGTCCTCCTGTTGTTCATAGATTAGCTCAAGCGGGCCCGGTAAGGTCTCCATTGTGAAACTTCTTGTTACTGTGTTTGGCATATGGAATACGTCACAGGGAGCTTGCCAGGCTTTGCCGTGCAGGCGAGATACTCTCAGTAGCAGCTTGCCGGGCTCTCCGAGAGGGGCAGAGGAATCGAACCCAGATCGGCCGAGTTGGCCTCATACAAGGCAAATACCCTACCCGTTGTGCTATCGCTCCAGCCCGACTAAGATCAAGTTTTATTTATTTATTTATTTATTTAATTTTTTTTGTCTTTTGGGTCACACCCAGCAATACTCAGTGGTTACTCCTGGCTCTGCACTCAGGAATTACTCCTGGCGGTGCTTGGGGGACCATGTGGGATGCCGGGGATCGAACCTGGGTCGGCCATGTGCGAGGCAAACGCCCTACCTGCTGTGCTATCGCTCCGGCTCCAAGTTTTATTTTTTTGTTTTCGATTTGGGGGCCACACCTGACCTGTGCTGTGTTCAGGGGCTGCTCCCAGCCTGGCTCTCCAGGGGTTGCTTTCATGGCGTTCTGGGAGCCACGGGGCACTGGGGGGGAGATGTGTGATCCCAGGGTGGAGTCTGTCTCTCTCATTTTTGGGCCATCCCTGCTGACAGTGCTCAGGGCTGACTCCTGGCTCTGTGCTCAGGGATCACTCTTGGTGGGGCTCAGGGGACCCTAAGGAATGCCAGGGATGGAACCTGTTCAGGCGCCCTCCCCGCTGTGCTCTCTCTCTGGTCAGGAAAGTGGAGACCCACCTGGGCTGTAGCTGGCCTGCATCTCTGAGGGCTGTCGCACCTGTTCCTTTGAATGTGGATTTGCTCAGCTGCCCAGGGGTGTGGGGCTCTCGGTTCCAAGCCAACAGGCCCTGCAGGTGCAAAGCAAGGGGAGGGGCGGGAGGGGGGGAAGGTGAGTGGGAGAGTAAGAGCTCACCTCACTTCATCCCAAAGAGCTCCGCAGCTTTGGTTTCCTCTAAGACCCGGTTACAGGACACAGGAGCTTTGCATGAGACTTCAGAAGCCCAGACTGGGTGAAAACAGGGGATTACTTGTTTTGCTTTTTTGGGGTCACAGTTGGCAATGCACAGGGGTTACTCCTGGCTCTGCACTCAGGAATTACTCCTGGTGTTTCTTGGGAGACCATATGGGATGCTGGAAATCAAACCTAGGTCGACCGTGTGCAAGGCAAACGCCCTACCCACTGTGTTATCACTCCAGCCCCACAAGCAAGGGGTTGGAGACTCCCAGAGGCTACCCACCATGATCTCTTTCCCCCCAGCACAGGTGTGAGAATGGGCACATGTGCCTGCCATGCCATTTCAGCTGGGAAAGAATTCTTTTTCAGTGCTGGAGAGATAGTACAGGAGGTAAGGCTCTTGCCTTGCATGCAGCCGACCTGGCTTCAATCCCTCGTGCCACAGAGGGTCCCCTGAGCCCACCAGGAGTGAGCCCTGAGCACTGCTTCGTGTGGCCACAAAACCAGAAAGAGTCATTTTCATGTTGGCTCTTATTTTTTCAAAAAAGATTTTATGGGAATGGGCTACAGCCGGCAGTGCTCAGGTCTGACTCCTGGCTCTGTGCTCAGAATATATGGTGCTGGCATTGAAGCAAGGTTGGCCACGTGCAAGGTAAGTGTCTTCTCTCCTGTACCGTTAGTAGCTCTCCAGCCCTATGGATATGTAGATATGTTTGGGAGCCACACCTGGAAGTTCTTGTGAGCTGATGCTAGCCTGGGGATCACCTGGCCCGCCCCAGCATGCAAAGTCTGCACTCAGCACACAGTGCTCCCTCTGACTCACTGACTCAGCCCTTTCTTTTTAATTTGTTTTTGGTTTTATTTTGGGTGGGGAGGCCATACTTGCTGGTGCTCAGAGCTTCCTCCTGGCTTTGCGCTCAGGAAACACTTGTGGCAGAACTTTGGGGACCTTATGGGGTGCCAGGGACTGACTGGTGAGTGTACAAAGCAAGCGGCGTCACCTTCCCCATTAAAAAAATGTGAAGATATAGATCTCTCCACAGTTTTCAGTAGATTACAGAGGTGGTGGAATCTTCTAAGGCCCGAGAATATTAGTTATTATTGCATCAAAGGTTTCTTTCTGTTTCCTGCACTATAGTTTCTTTTTTTTTTTTAGCTTTTACAAAAACTGTTTATTCCAGATAATAGTATAGCACTGTAGCACTACTGCACTGTTTTCCCATTCATCAATTTGCTCCAGTGGGCTCCTGTAATGTCTCATAACAAATTGTGAGACTTACTTTTTTTTTTCTTTTTTTGCTTTTTGGGTCACACCCGGCAATGCACAGGGGTTACTCCTGGCTCTGAACTCAGGAATTACCCCTAGCTGTGCCCAGGGGACCATATGAGATGCTGGGAATCGAACCTGGGTTGGCCGAGTGCAAGGCAAATGCCCTACCCACTGTGCTATCACTCCATTACATTTTTATAAATATACATATCACTCCATTACATTTTTATAAATTTAATTTTAATTATATCAGTCTAGTGAACTCTGCAGGTATTTACTTTCATATGATGGATTTTTTTTTTTTGCACTGTGGTTTCTGTGCTCTGCCTCCCATGGTACTTTTCCCGCCCCCAGGTAAGCATTTGCCCTCATTTTTGAAGACTTTCTTAAAATATTTTGTGCCCCATGGCGCCCAGCAGGTGTTAAGATGGGGGTCCAGGATGGGGTCCAGCGTTAAGGCAGGTGTTAAGATGGGCCTTGGGGAGGCCAGAGTAAAGCTGTTTTGTTGTGGGAAGATGCTAATCTGGAGGAGAACATGGGGTTGAGAGGAAAGTGAAGAAAGGCCAGATTGAAGGTCATCTGTGTGCTCTGGAGGACCGGCAGCCTGGGGGCTGTCCAGAAAGATGCTCCCGCCTTCATACGGCAGCGAGGGCAATTGCCTTGCACTGGCTGGGCCTGGTTCGCCTCCCCCCCACAATATGGCCCCCTGAGCACCAGGAGTGATCCTAAGTGCAGAGCAAGAGCAACCCCTGAGCACCGCCAGGTGTGGCCCAAAACAAAAAAGGCACCCCCAGAATTGCCGTACCGGTGGTCATCGGGTTATGGATCCCTTCCCCATCACCGCAGCCTCTGGGCCATCCTGGCAGCCACTTCTGCAACTGCTGCCCCACACTTCACCAGCTCTGCTTGGCCTCGGGACAGCTGTGACTTCTGCCCCTGGCCCCAGGACAGCACCCTGTGGCCGTTCCTGTGAGTCCCTCGGGGCGTGGCCCTCAGTCCTGTTTGCTCTGTCTCTCTGGGCTGAGGACTCTGGCCCAGGGACACGGTGGGTGCTGGGCCGAGTGGCCAGACTGCACCCCCAACACCCCTGTGCCTACCCAGGTCTATAAAACACTGCTCGACGCGGTGGTGACAATGTACAGGACGGAAGGCCCCCTGGTCTTCTACCGTGGCCTGCAGCCCACCCTGATGGCCATCTTCCCGTACGCCGGCTTCCAGTTCTCCTTCTACAGCTCCCTGAAGCAGGCATATGAATGGCTTCTGCCCAGCGACAGCTCCAATGGTGAGGGCCTTCATGGGACAAGGGTCCCCTGGGGAGGGCCATCGGGGCCCTGGGGACAAGGCTCCCTGCCAGAGGCCGCCCTTACTGCTTGCTGGCTCAGGCCCAGCTGAGGCACAGATACACCCAGTGCCAGTGTCCAATGTGCCCCCATTCCTGGACCTCCCTTCCCCGGCCAGGAAGCCCCATCCCACAAGTCCCACCCATAACGCCTGCGCTAAGCCCCGCCCTTCTCTGCAAAGCCCCGCCCACACAAGCCCTACCCTCATCCAGGCCACACCCCACGTCCTGCCTTGCCCACCTCTTCCCCATGTGGCCTCCGGCCTGGTGCCCAGTGGCCTCTCCCACACTATTTCACCGCTTGCAAGTGTACCTCTCACAGCACCAGTAACTGGGGGAGGGGCACGTTGGCTTTAGAATCAGGACCTTGAGTCATACCTGATCACTTTTGCGTTAGACTGAGGGATCACTGGGCAGGGCCGAGCCTGTGCCCCCCAGCAGCCCGTCCTGCCTGCAGACTTGACAGGGGGGCGGGGCCCAGGGTGGGACTTAGGCCTTGGCCTTAAAGACTCTGCTTCCTGGCCCAGGGAACTTAAAGAACTTGATATGTGGCAGCGGAGCTGGAGTCATCAGCAAGACCCTTACGTACCCTCTCGACCTCTTCAAGAAGCGCCTGCAAGTCCGCGGGTTTGAGCACGCGCGCACCAACTTCGGCCAGGTGAGCCCCCCATCACTGGGCCCTGGAAGGGCCTGGCAGTGACCCTGACTGCTATTTGACCCAGCCCAACCCCCCTGCTTCCCCAGCACACACTGAGCCTTTTTTTTTGGGGGGGGGGACGTTTTGGGTCACACCTGGAGATGCTCAGGTGTTACTCCTGGCTTTGCACTCAGGAATGATTCCTGGTGGTGCTCAGGGAACCATATTGTATGCTGGGAATCGAACCCGGGTCGGCCACATGCAAGGCAATCGCCCTCCCCACTATGCTATCGCTCCAGCCCCTCACACACTGAGTCTTACATGCTGTGGGTATTGTGGAAAGATCCAGGCAGGGAGCTCTGGTCCACACCTGGCAGTGCTCAGGGCTCACTCCTGGTGGTGCTCCCAGTCCCACAGGCTATGATGGGGATGGAACCAGGCCTCCTGCTGTGCTCCTTCTCTGGCCCCCTCTGCTCTGGGTTTTTCTTTCTTTTTTTTTTTTTTTTGCTTTTTGGGTCACACCTGACGATACACAGGGGTTATTCCTGGCTCTGCACTCAGGAATTACCCCTGATGGTGCTCAGGGGACCATATGAGATGCTGGGAATTGAACCCAGGTTGGCCACGTGCAAGGCAAACACCCTACCTGTGGTGCTATTGCTCCAGCCCATGGGTTTTTCTTTTTTGACAGTGCTGGGTCTCTAACCACCGGGCTCCACCACCACCTATGGTATCTCTTACACAGGGTTTGGTTCAAGACCCGGAAGATGCTCAGAGTGGTGGGACATATGTCCAGCCTGTGCCAAGCCATGGGTTTGATTCTCGGCGGCATGTGGCCCTCCAGCACTGCCAGGTAGCCCTGGTGGCCCCCAAGGCGCCCTTGGATTTAGCCCCAATTAAAAACATTGACACAAAGAATCAAGCTCAGTTTGGGACCAAAAGCTCTTCACAGGGAGGCCCTGGATGGTTGGGAGCACGGAGACACACCTCAGACTCAACTCTCAGCGGTTAGACCCAAGGGAAGCACAGAATTTCCTGTCAGCCATTTTCAGTGTTTTAGAAAACTCTATGCCCTCCCACCCCTCCAGGAGCCCAAAGCCATTCTTTTTTTTTTTTTTTTTTTTTTTTTGGGTCACACCTGGCGACGCACAGGGTTTACTCTTGGCTTTGCACTCAGGAATTATTCTGGCAGTGCTCAGGATGGCAGTGCTCAGGAAACCCTACGGGTGCCAGGGATCAAACCTGGGTTGGCCATGTTCAAGGCAAATGCCCTACCTGCTCTACTATGGCTTCGGTCCCCCAGATCATTGTGTGAGGCTAATTAGCTATAATAGAAACCGTCCCTCCCATTGGCCCCACTGGATCGGGTTTTTTGTGTGTGGTGGAGGAGGATCATTATGGGGCTGTGTCCTAGAGTGATGGGGACCACAGCCCCAGACACAGCACTGACAGGTGAGGAGGGGACAGCACAAGGCCAGGACAGTCAGGAAGCCCCGGGGGTCAGCCAGAGAATCGATTTTCTTAGCTGGGATCCTTTTTCCATGGTTGAAAATGCCAGAGAAGTCAGATAGACACGTTCATCAGTCACTCCATCTGACAGAGCATTGCGGATGGTCTGAATAAACACATCTGTACACACGGACAAATTGCAGCAATCTGCAAGGCCAGGGACCTCCAGCCCAATTTGTTTGAATTCCTTTTTTGATTTTTTTTCTTTTTGAGTCACATGGGGCAATGCTCAGGGGTCACTCCTGGCTCTGCACTCAGGAATTACGCCTGGCAGTGCTCGGGACACCATGGGATCGAGCCTGGGTCGGCTGCATGTAAGGGAAATGCCCTCCTGGCTGTACTATTTATTGCACCTGGGGGGGGGGGGCGGGCATCTGTGGGAGAGGAGAGGGGAGGTAAGCAAGGAGGGAAAATGGAAGTTGGGACACAGGGCATGGGCTTCACCCCGCCCAGCTGGCCAGCGAGCTGGACTTGGTTCTTGACATCATTGTCATTATAGGGAGTTACTGGAACTGGAGCTTTCGTTCATTCGTGGTTTGGTTTTGGTTTTGGGCCCCACCCCATGAGATTCAGGGCTTACTCCAGGCTCTGCACCCAGGGATTACTCCTGGCAGGGCTTGGGGAACACTCTGGGATGCCAGGGATTGAACCGGGTCAGCCGCATGCAAGATAAACACCTACTCGCTGTCCCACCACTCTGGCCCCAAGGTTTTGGGTTTTGGCATCTATGGCGCTGGGTGGAACCCAGGGTGGAATCCCGCAAGGAGGCACATGCTCTTGGCTGAGCCACCTTCCTGGCCTGCAGCTGCTGGAGCGGTTGGCGGGGAGGAAGGCTGGAGTGTGGGGTCAACCGAGCGGGGGTCTCCTGGACTGAGGAGATGAAGAGGGAGATGAAGAGTAGACAGCGGTGGAGCCGCGCGCGTATTTGGGGCTTGGTCCTGCGCTCACACCCCTCCCCCGGCCCTGGCACTTTCTCCCGCCCCACCTGCAGGTCCGAAGGTACACGGGCCTCCGGGACTGTGCCCAACAGGTGCTGCGTGAGGAGGGCCCTCGGGGCTTTTTCAAAGGCCTGTCCCCCAGCCTGCTGAAGGCCGCCATGTCCACTGGCTTCGTGTTCTTCTGGTATGAATTCATCTGCAGCCTCTTCCACTGCGTGAACAAGAGCAGCAGATAGCCGAGGGCCCCCGCACAAAGGTGTCCGTCCCCAGCTGCTCTGCCCTGTGCCACCTGGGCATCCCTCATTGCCAGGCGTCTGCAGGAAGAGAAGCCCCAGGGTGGGCTGCACAAAACACCTGCCAGAAGGCCTGAGTTCCGGACCTGGGAGAACCAGAGGGAGCTGGACCCCCAAGGATGCCGTCTTCTCTGTAGGAGTGTGGCGGTGTGCTGTCGGGAAAGGTCCCTCCTTTGAGAGGTTCCTTTCTATTTTTGGTTTTGGGGCTATGCCCCGCACTCCCTTGACAGACATTAAAGCTGCTAGCACATTCCACCTTGCTCCTCCCTCTTCACAGGACAGGCGCCGTGTGCCACACGCTTTGTGTCTTCCCATCTCCTTGAGTCTGGACGCTTCCAGCCGGGCCAGGTGGCATCATGCCCATCCAGGGCACCTGGGCCCGGCTCAGCATGGCACTGTGTTTGTGTCACAGCTCGGTGAAAGGGGGCAGAAGGCCAGGGTCGGGCACCCGCCCCTACTATGCTCTTGGTGTGCTGTGTGTGTGTGTCTGTGGGGCTGGGAATGGAGTCAGTGTATCCTGCAGGCAGCCTCTGCAGGAGACACTGACTCCATTCCCAGCCCCACAGAAACACAAAACAAAAAAACACGAGACAAAACTGAAGGTTGGACACGTCTGGACCTCGGGGTGGAGCTCCTTGCTGTGAGGCCCTAGGTTCCATTCTGGGCACCAAAGGCGAAACCACTGAACACAGCCACCTCCCTGTCCCTTCCCCAGTCTGTCGGGTAGCTCAGGGGGACTCCCTGGCACAGCTCAGGACCCTGTGCCCATTGCTGCTGCGGCTGGCCTGTGTCGGGGGCCCTGTGAGCTGCTTCCTTGTGCCCGGCTGCTGTTCCAAAGGCCCAGGCAAAGCGCAGATGTGGCCACAGCATTGGGGAATAGGAACTTCTCAGAGAAAGGTCCCTCCTTTGAGAGGTTCCTTTCTATTTTTGGTTTTGGGGCTATGCCTGGCGCATGCTCAGGGCTGACTCCTGACTCTGCACAGAGAGGTCACTCCTGGCAGGCTCGGGGACCCTATAAGGTGTTGGAGATCAAACCCAGGTCAAATGCGTGCAGGGCAAGTGCCCTTCCCACTGTGCCATCGCTCAGGTCTTGCCCCTGTTTTTCGGGGACCACTGTGGGGTTCATTCAGCTGGAGATGCCCCTGACATTCTTCACTTGTCTCAGGCAAGCAGTTCTGGGTCAGCTTCTAAGGTCCGGTGTACCCATGGCTGGATCTGAAGAGGGAACTGGGCCTATGTCCTTCACCTTGCCCTAGCTCCAAGCCTAGAGGGACGGAGTGTGACTGCTGGCCAGCGTCATGGTCACTCCCTGTATCTGGCAAGCTGTCACCTGGGCGCTTCTGGCTGCCTGTGGGTCCTCAACTTTTACCCCTACGGGTGGGAAGTGGCGTGGGAGGGGAAGGAGTGTGTGATGGGGCCCCAGGGCAGGGCCCCACTGCCCTCCCCCTGCTCTCCCGACGCGGCCACGCCCCGCTCAGGCTCCTCCCACGCCGCGCGCCCGCCCGTGTCCTCCTGCGACCTGCTTACTCCGAGCCCCTGGCGGGGGGGCAGCGGAGAGCTGTCCCCGCAGGACACCCGGAGCTTCATGCAGGCCGGAGAGCATATCCGACCCAGCGCCGACGAGCCATCGTTGGTCGCGAATCGGCCTGTGTCAGGTGAGGGGGAGACAGGGCGGTGCAGGGGCAGTGTCCACTGACGTCCAGCGCGGCCCCCGCCTGGGCTAGAGGCCAGCGTCCTCGGCCCGCGGCAAGGGCAGAGCCGTCGGGGCCCCGGTAGGTGGCGCTAAGGAGAAGGCCCGCCCCGTCAAGACCCGCCTCCAAAGAAGGCCCCGCCCCTCGTCCCTAGGCCCCGCCCCCTACCGGTAGTCCCACCCAGAGCCCGCCCCCGGCCCCGTGGTCCCGCCCCGCTGACCCGCCACGGCGCCGCGCTAGGAAGTGACCTAAGCGGCGACCGCACCGGCGGCTCCTCGTGGATGCGGGGCGCGCACCATGTCCACCGGGCGGCCTGCGGGCACGCGGGCGCGGCGCCGGGGCAGCAGGTGGGGGCCCGGCGCTGAGGTCCCCGGCGGCGGGCTTCGCGCGGGGGAGTGTCCAGCTCGGGGCGGCCGCGCAGGCTGAAGCTCCCCCCAACCCGAGATCGCTTCCCGTGGCCGGAGCGGGGGGACGCGGCCCCAGAGCAAACTCAGCGGGACACACCTGCGGGCTCTCCTCTGCCCGGTTGGGCCGGGCTCGCCCCGCGGGGAGCCAGTTGAACCAGTTGGTCCTGGGAGGGGCCCGGGCCCCGCGCGGCTGGGGCTCCTGCACCCATCCACTCGCTCGGGCCGGCCCGGAAGCCTGGGGAGCGGGGCTGGGTCGGCCGTCCAGCTCCTGGAACCGCGCTGGGCCGCTCTCGGCCAGGCAGTGCCAGTCTCCCTCTGGCCACGGGGCAGTGGGCGGGGCGCCTGGGCTGAGTCGCAGGTGTGTCCTCGCTGGAGGGGACTCCCTGAGCCGGGTCCCTGGCTCCCCTTGCAGGCGTGGCAGTTAGGCCCACCCCAGGACAGGTGTGCGGGCGATGGGGGAACAGGGGCGAGAGGAGTACAGGATCCAGTCTTTCGACGCGCAGACTCAGCAGCTGCTGAAGACGGCCCTCAAGGGTGAGTGCGGGGCCAGAGCAATGGGACAGCGGGAGGGCACCAACCCTCAGAGTCCCCTGAGCCCCACCGGGAGTGACGATCCCTGAACACGTACCCAAGCCCTGAGCACCACTGGACGTGACACACCCCCTCACCAGACTCCCCCCCCCACCACCCCGCAAAAGAAAAGTGAGTGAAGCCCATCTGAGCACAGGGGTGCCCGGCCCACCTCATTTCTGAGAATCAAGATCCAATGCAGTTCCCTAGCTGGAAGACAGGCGGCTTGAAAACTGATATTGGGGGGCGTGGCCCCGAATCAGCTCAGCTTGTGGACTAGGAAGCTTTACAGGCTGTCAGCCTGCTTTGGGGCAGGGGCGGGGCAGAGGGTCTTCTCCTGTCCCCTTGCGTCCCTGTGTGCATACTGAAAGTGTAGGGGCGTCTGTGCCAGGCAAGGTGGGCATGTGCTGGGCATTGTCAGAGGCCAGCCCAGTTCTTGGTCAACCCCGCCACTCACTCAGCCCCACTGAGAAGCAGCTGGCCTGCCTGGGCCCCTTGCCTGGCCCGGGGGCCTTGAGTGACTAGGGAAGAACCTTACAACCAGTGCTTAGGAGGTTCAGGTTCTCAACAGTAATTTACAGTAGTTTTTTTTTTTGGGGGGGGGGCGGTCACACCCGGCGATGCTCAGCGGTTACTCCTGGCTCTGCACTCAGTAATCACTCCTGGTGGTGTTTGAGGGACCATATGGGATGCCAGAGATCGAACCTGGGTCTGCCATGTGTAAGGCAAATGCCCTCCCTGCTGTGTTATCGCTTCAGCCCCAGTAATTCTTGGCCACACAGTGCAAGGGCCAGACGTGACGCAAGGTCATGGGTCCCCAGGGGACCCCCACCAGGGCTTGGGAGGCCATGATGCTGAATAGGCCCCTGATCCGGTACATGCTACACATGTGCTGTGCTATATTTTACCTAATTTTGTTTTTTTGGGGGGGGGTTTCCTATGCTGTGCTTCCAGGGCTTGGGGGAACCACCCCCAGAGACCCAGAGATCTTCAGCCCTGCTTGCAGCAAGCTAACTGGGGTCCCTGGGTCTAGAGACAGAATTCTGGACCTTGCTCGCCCCCTTGTCACAGCCTGGCTCCCTGGCCTCCTGCCTTGAAGAGACGAAGGGGCAGCTGCTCGGTCAGCACCCGAGTCCTCTCAGGAGCACTCAGCAGCCTCCTCCCCTGCAGACCCGGGCGCTGTGGACCTGGAGAAAGTGGCTGGCGTGGTGGTGGATCAATCTCTGCGGGACTGTGTGTTTAGCAGGGAGGCAGGCCGCCTGTGCAACGCCATTATCCAGGTGCGTGGGGCGCGGGGGAGGCGTGAGGGGCCGCGCTGCAGCTGCTCAGACCCTGTCCCCCGCAGGCTGAGGGCAAGCAGACAGGCCAGAATGTCTTCCGGCGGGGTCTCCTCAACCGGCTGCAGCACGAGTTCCAGACCCGGGAGCAGCTGCGCGCCCGCTCCCCGCAGGCCTGGGTCTGCTACGTCACCTTCATCTGCAATATCTTCGACTACCTGAGGGTGAGGCCCTGGAGGCCCCACTCCCTGTCCCCCCATGCCACCACGTGGGCCCTTGGGTCACTCCTGTACTCCGGCAGGTCAGCAACATGCCCATGATGGCCCTGGTGAACCCCATCTATGACTGTCTCTTCCGGCTGGCGCAGCCTGACAGCCTGAGCGTGGAGGAGGAGGTGAGGTGGGCACAGGCACCCTCGGAGGCACATGGGTGCTTCAGGGATAAGCACTCTGGGCTTGGAGCTGCCAGGCCTGGAATTCAGTGAGAAGCCCCCGCACAGGGGCGATGCAGAGGACCCCCAGCAGTCACGGGGGCCAGCCCGGAAGTCAAACTGTAGGAGGTAGGGGAGTAGAAGTAGGGCCCAGAAAGGCCAGGAGGGAGGATGCTTTGCCTGCACGGGGAAGATCATGGTTTGATTCCTGAGGTGCAGAGTCCCTCCAAGGAGTGAGCCCAGAGCACCACCAGTGTGAGCCCCGAACTAAAGACAGGATGGCTCTGGCGAGGAGCCCACACACTCGCCCCTTCCCGCCAGGTGGCCACAGGGAGGGGTCGGCTGGTCCCCGGAGAGGCCCTGTCCCGGCCGCCCGCTCACCCCACACCCCGCCAGGTGGACTGCTTGGTGCTGCAGCTGCACCGGGTCGGAGAGCAGCTGGAGAAGGTGAACGGGCAGCGCATGGACGAACTCTTTATGCTGCTCCGCGATGGCTTCCTGCTGCCCGCCGGCCTCAGCTCCCTGGCACAGTTGCTGCTGTTGGAGATCATCGAGTTCCGGGCGGCCGGCTGGAAGACCACCCCTGCCGCCCACCGCTACTACTACAGTGAGGTCTCCGACGACGCCAGCTAGCCACCCTCTGCCCACCTCTGGGGCCGAGCACGCACAGGTCACAGACACCACTTGGGACACGCGGGGCCTGGGAGCAGCCCAGCTGCAGGTTTAATGGTGGCAGGTGCTTTGCGGGAGCTGGGGAGATTTTCTAATAAACCTTTGCTAACACAAAAGCGGCTTCCTTCCAGGCGTCCCTGGGTCTCCAGGCAGAGGGCCGGAGGGGCCCTGAGCTGCCACAGGACTCGGGGAACCCAAAGTCGCCATGTTCCCTCCTTGCAGGGTGATGGGGCCGGGTGGCTGCAGCCCGCACAGAGCTCAGGTCCCTCTCCCTGCGCCCCTACCACCAGCGGTAGTGGGCAAGGGCCCGGTTGGCCTCGGCCATCTTGTGCATGTCGTGCTTCCTCTTGACCACGGGGCCCTGGTTGTGGAAGGCCTCGAGCAGCTCGCGTGCCAGCTTCTCGGGCATCAGCATCCGCCGGGGCTTCTTCTTTCGGCACTCGGTGATCATCCACTTCATGGCCAGAAAGCGCCGCCGCTGGTCTCCCAGCGGCACAGGGACCTGCCGGGACAGCATGTGGCAGGGTGGGCGCGGGGTTGCCAAGAGGCCACCACCTGACTTGCAACTCCAAGTGGCCAGTTCCCAGGGACCAGCCCCGGTGAGCCTCGCGAAGGGCCTGGCTCTCATGCAGCCCTTCAGCACCAAATGGAAGCTCCAGGCTTCGCATGTGGAAACCCTGGGTTCGATCCCTGGCACTGCATGTTCCTCTGAACACCACTGGCAACGAACCCACCCCCAGCACCAAGTCAGAAGTAGCCCCAAGTCCAAACCTTAAACGGAAGCTCAATCAAGTTGATTAAAGCAGCAACTGGTACAAGTTGGCTGGGACTTAGCCAAGAATCATTGGTCAGGGCCCTGACATACGCTGTACACCGGGCCCGGGACACAGATATAATGAGCCCATGCCCTAAGCTTTCGTAACAGGGCCAGAGATGCACTGGCTCACTGTCCTAAGCTTCCGTGATTGGGCCAGAGAGATCACTGGCTCACTGGAGCACATGCTGTGCCGGTGAGAGGCCCAGGTTTGCACCCAGCACTACAGTGCATCGTCCCTGCAGTATCTCCCAAACGGGATGGGAACTGTATTAAGACAGAAACAAGAAGCCCTACTCGTGACAAGTACAGTTAAAGCCTATAACATAGACCCCTTACTCAGATCAACAAAAGCGATGAAACATCAGTCACCGTCCGCACCAGGCCAGACACCAGGTAATATTTGGAAACACAAGTTTCCGATTTAGGGCTCAGGACTGGACAGAGGAATGGAGGTACGGGGGATGTCCAAAAAAAGAGATGTGCTTGGGGCGGGGGGGCACGCTTAGTGTGCTCAGGGGTTATTCCTCTTGGCTCTGTACTCAGGAATCACCCTTGGTAGTGTTCAGGGAACAGTATGGGATGCCGAGGATCAAACCCGGGTCAGTTGTGTGGAAGGCAAATGTCCTACCTGCTGTATTAGCGCTCCAGCCCCCAGAAAAGATAAGGATAATGCTTCGTTTTCCACTTTCCATTATGTCTCTTGATTATTAGCTACTCTTCAAGGGCACTCCTGACTGGTGTGGGGGGACACCAGGACCCCGATGTCTGGCTACCATTTCTGGCATTCCTGGTGGGTCCAGGCCCTTCAGATCTATCAGTCTGGTCGCACCCGCTCACCTGGTAGAAGTGGCCGCCCTTGAGGATGGGCACCAGCCCGATCACAGGCTCACAGTTCTTCAGTGCCTGGTGGAAGATGGTGTAGGGGTTGCGCTCAATACTGACTTGAGCCTCGGCGGAGGCCGCGTGGTACTTCTCAAACTGCTTCCTCTTTACAGTTTCCAGAGTCTGCAAAGGGACATGGTGGCAGCGGCTGGCCCGGCTCCCTGGAGCCTTTGCCTAGCTCGTCACCTTGGCCAGTGCCTTGGCCTGTGATTCCCAGCTATCCCCTCTGCCAACAAGTCTGGGAGTTCCAAAGTGCTCTGTGTCTGAGTGGAACAGGACAGAAGCAGGCTGTGGGGGAGGGGCTGAGATGTGTCAGGGGGTGGCATGTGACTTGGGCCCAGCATGCCTGCAAATACAAAGTTCTTTTCATTGTTTTTGTTTCTGCTTACGCTGGGCAGTGCTTAAGGGACTGCATGTGGTGGCAGGGACTGAGCCAGGTGGGCAGGACTCAAGGCAATGCCTTTCTCCTGTGCTCTCCTGGGACCCAGTAAGTTGTTTTGTTTTGGGGTCACACCCAGCAATGTTCAGGCATTACTCCTTACTCTGCGCTCAGGAATCACTTGTGGGGTTCAGGGCACCATATGGGATGCTGGATACTGGGGGCTGGACCCAGGTGGACCGCATGCAAAGCAAGCACTTTACCTGCTAACCCATCTCTCTGGCCCCCTGGAAATCCATGCCTGTGTCATGTCTGCTTACCTGTGTCATGAGCGACCTGGCCAGCACTTTGTTTCCTCCCTTCATCATCATGTTGGTGAATTTACTGAAGGGAAAAAAACGACACGTTCAGCTTTTGGGGGCTGAACCCCAGATTCCGGTCGGTGGCATCCCACCCTCCCCAAACAGTCCCAGTTAACAGAACCAAAGCGTGCGCTCCCGTCGCACCTAATCACAGGGTCCTCGAACACGGAGATGATGCTCTTGGCCGGGGTGGCTTTGAAAAGCTGCGTCTTCCTACGCTCCCGCTCATACTTGTCTTCCTCACTGAGCTCGGCCAGCGGCTTGCGGTAATACGCCTTGTCAACTTGGGGGTCCTTATATTCGGGACCATAGCGGCTCCCCCTCACCTGGGTCAGCCTGGGGGTGCGGGGGTATGCAGAGGACAAAAGTTGACCCCACAAGTGAAAGGGCTTGACTCAACAATGGGCACAGATGCCAGCCCGGGCACAAGGGGGAGCTGCAGGAGACCCGGCAAGAGGCGAGGGCCTCTCCCCAACGGGCCGGGAGAGCTCCTCCGCCCGAGAAAACGGTAAGAGTGGCTCCCGAGCTCGGCCTAGGGGTCCCTAAGCCCCTACGCGGCAACGCACCGACCACCCCACCCCAGCGCGGAGCCCTTGAGCAGCCGCACTCAGCTCCGAGCGGAGCCCTGCACCCGCCCGAACCCTCGCTCGGGCTGCAGACCGGCCCCGCCGAAGGTCACGCAGCGCGTTAAGGCTGCAGCACTCGCGGCCCGCGGGCCCTCTCCCGTCCCTGCGCGACCTGCCCGTGGCGCCTTTCCTTCCCCGCAGGTCTCGACGTCCAGGCCTGCGCGGACCCCGGCTGTCGCCCCGACCCCTTACCCTGGAAGCCGCAGAGCGGCGCCGCGCACGCTCAGCACCAGCCGCGACCACCCTCGCGCAGCTCTCCCCGCGGGGGCAGCCATCTTGGCTGGCGGCGAGGACCCCGCGCGGGCTGTCCGCGGCGTGCCTGAGCGAATGACGGGAGACGGCGAGAGAAGGCGCCCCCGGCCCCGGCCTCAGCGCAGCATCCTATGAGCCAGGGCGTTAAAGGTCGCCTGCTCCGAGGTCCCAAAGGAAGCGCCCAAGGAGAGCAGCTGCGCCCCGCCACCCGCCGCAGACGGGCGCGCCTCGGGGCGGCGGCTCGCTCTCGTCGCAAGCCCCCATGCAGGCCCCGCCCGCGCCGGGCTCGCGCGCGCTCTCGCGAGCGTTGAGGGCTCGGGGCCGGCCCGGGAGGCGGCAATATGGCGGAGGCGGAAGGGGAGAGCCTGGAGTCCTGGCTGAGTGAGTAGCCGCCGCCCGCGCCCCGCGCCTCGCGCCCACGCCTGCCTGCCCGCGCGCGCCCCGCCGGCCGCGAGCTCGGGGGCTGCCGGGAACGGGCCCCCGCGCGCTCGGGACACGGCGGGGCCGCGCGCCCACTCGCAGGCCCCGGGGACCCCGCGCTCCAGAACGGCGCCCCGCGAATTCGGAGAGGGTCGCCGGGCATCTTGAAGAGAGAGGGGGGCTTCCGCCGGCAGAACGTCGGCGGTGGGAAGAGTCCGGAGGGGGCGCCCGCCCCGGGCACTCGGGGCCCCGCCGCGCCCCGCGCTCCCCCGCGCAGCATCCCTAGGTCCTCACTCGCCGCCTTCGCTCCGAGGCGCGCCAGGAGCGCACTTCGCGCTCTTAGGGGAGCCCGGCCCAGCCGCGGAAGGTTCGCGCCTTCGTTCTTCTGCAGGTTGGGGGGGCCCTGGGGGCCACGCTCAGTGACTCCAGACCTTGGACAGTGGCGGGCTGCGGGGACGGCGAGACGCGGCCCCGGGCGGGCAGCCCCACGTCTGCTGGCACCTCCCTTCCGAAGCTGGGGTCCCTTGGGGCCTCTCCTCGCCGGGCACCTTCCGCGGGGTTCCCCTGGGCTGCCAGGGCGAGATCTGCGATTGCAGGAAGGTCCTCAGGGCTCCAGACTCGTCCCTGTATCGAGTGCCCATCATCGGGTCGCAGAAGCAGGGCAGCGTGACAGTCACCGGAGCCCTTGCCCGGAGCCACCCGGCAGGCGCCCTGCACCGTAATTGGCTCAGACGCGCGGATGCTCAGATAATAGCCGTCGCGATGGGCCAGCCCAGGGTTAGGGTTTGGAGTAGAGGGTGTTTTGAGGGAGCCCTGAGGGTGGGGACGGGGGTCGTGGGACACACTGGGAGGTACCTGGAAGACTGTGTGCCCATTTGGCACTTTTTTTTTCTTGGCGGAGAGGGGAGAGCACACACTGGTACTGCTCAGGGCTTACTCCTGTCTCTGTGCTTAGGGATCTCTCGTGGCACCGCTCAGGGAACCATATGGGGTTACGGTGTGGCGGGTGCAAGGCCAGGACCCTACCCACTGTACTATCTTTCTGGCCTCCAAGTCACTGCTTGCTCCTGGAGCAGGGAGGCCCTTCCTTGGGTAGCATCTGTTGGCTTGTATGGTTCTGAGGATGGAGTGACCGTGCAGTGGAGGCTCAGCTTGCGGTTCTGTCACCTCTGACCTGTCACCAGGATTGCTGGAGCTGGGCTTGTCCTGGGGGAAGGTGATGGGGGTGGGTAGGGCAGAAGCTGGGGAGAGGCTGCTCAACCAGCCGTGTGTTCCCGGGAACAGAGTCTCGCTTGTCTGCATTTCTCTGCGGCCCATGTTCTCTCTTGAACACATTTTCTCCCTTTTTCTCCTCTCTGTCTTTCTAAATAAGTTTCAATAAACCATGTTGTTGCTTCATTAAAAATAAAGTGAAAGATACAGATCCTTGGGGTGAAGAGATAGTACAGGGTGGACGAAGGCACTAGCCTGTGGCTGTCCTGGGTTTGGTCCCCTGCACTCGGTCTGATCCTCGAGTCTTCCAGAATGACCCCTGAATGGAAAGCCAGGAGTGAGCCCTGGGCATAGTTGGGTGTGAGGAGGAAAGAATGCTCCAGGGCCCCGGGAGATGGCCTGGCAGCCTGGGCATGTGCTGAGTGTGGGCGCTGGTGGGCTCAATCCCCAGGCCCCCTGATCCCCTTAACACCACCAGGTGTGACCCAGCTTACAAAGACACAAAGGCAATATCCTGGAGCACTCAAGCGCAGATACTGTGGGAGCCTGGGTGTGGGGTGTGGAGGAGAAAGCGAGTTAGTGAGGGCCAGCGTTTGAGCCCAGCCTTAAGGCCGGAAGTGGCTGGAGAGAAGCCCAGGCACACAATGCTCACCCTGCAGGCTCACCCCGTTTCCTGCTCCCCTGCACTGCTGGACCTGACCGAGGAGACCCCAGAGAGTGGAGGGTCCGAGCTTCTGGGGGCCCCACGGACACAGGCTCTGCCGGCAGGAGAGGCTTTCACAGGCGGGAGTGAGCACTCATGGCAGTGAGCGGGGAGCTTGGCATTTCCTGTGACCAGTCGGGGACACAGCCTGCCTGAGAAGGGAAGGAGAGAGGAAGGTTTGTGTGAAAGAGGCAGCAGCCTTCGCAAGGGGGCCACGTTTCTCCAAAGAGTGATGGAGCAGTGCCCTGCCTTGAGGTGCTTTCTGCAGGAGGGGTGGGGGTGTGTGGCTTCCGGGCAGAGCCTCAGTTGCTTCGCAGCCCCTGCCCTGGGCTAAGCTTTCTGAGTGGGAGGAACCTCGCAGCAGCATTTGTGAGCAGATTCAGGCATTAGCCCCAGTCCTCTCTCTGTTTTGGCTTCGTTTTAGTTCAGTTTGCGGCCACCCCCAGCAGGGCTCAGGGATCACGGCTGGCAGGGCATCATGGGGTGGGGTGTCCTGTGGAGTGTCTAGGATTGAACCCGGGGCAGCCACGTGCAAGACTAGTGCTGTACCCACTGTACTGTCACTTCAGCGCCTGCCCAGCTTCTGGCCGCAGCTGGCTTCTGGGTCTTTGCTCCATAGAACTTGTCCCGAGTCCCTGGGGACAGGCCAGGTTTCTGGTCATACCAGGGCCTTAGCAGGGCTGCAGGTGAGGAGGCCGTGTGCAGGCACCGGGTTTGCTGCTTGCTATGTCTGCTCAAGGTGGGAGGAGGAGCCCATTGACTGGGATTAGCCCCAGGGGTGGCTCCAGGAGCCGGGCTGGTGGGTGCTGTGAAGCTGAAACCCTGAATCAGGGCCACGCGTGGGCCCAGCGCCCCCTACAGACCTGCAGCCAGAAGGCCTGTCTGGGTGACAGGAAGTGGGGCTCTTGGGACCAGGCAAACAGTGGAGGGGGGAGTGTGACGTGCGGGCGGGCGGGGGGGGGGGGGGGGGGCTCTGTGTGCTCCTGAGAACAGGACGTGTATTTGAGAGAGTGTGTGTGTCTGTGTTGGGGGCGGGGCGGGGAGGGGGTGGCCCCTGCGCTTGACGGTATCTTCCAAAGTATCCTGGGAAAAAGCTTTCCTAGCTGTGCTGTGTGTGAGCACAGAGCTGGGGTGTGCGGGGGGCGCCTGTCCTTGACTCTCCTTGAAAAAGCTTTTCTGTGTATGCATGTGTGAGTACGTGTGTGCGTATGTGTGTCTTGTCAGCTTGGGTGTGGGGTGCTGCTCTCACCGGATGATGCCTTTCCTGCAGCTCTTTGCAGCAAGAGAATGCCAGCACCTTAAGCTGTGATCGTTGTCAGGTGGCAATACCAAGGGCAGTTGTGGCCACCCCTGCTCTGTGTGTGTATGTGTGTGTGTGTGTGTGTGTGTGTGTGTGCACGCACACACGTGTGTCCCGCAGCCAGGTCAGGGAGGGACAGAGGCACAGAGGCCATCAGCCTTGCATTTGTTTTCCTTTAGTTTTTGTGTTTGGGCCACACCCGATGGAGCTCAGGGCTTACTCCTGGCTTTGTGCTCAGAAATCACTCTTAGTGGTTCTCTGGGGGGGGGGGGGCTTATGGGGTGCCAGGATTGAACCATCAGCCGCATGCGAGGCAAGCGCCCTCCCGCTGTCCTGTGCTGTCTCTCTGGCCCCCGGAAACTGTTCTGACGAGCATGGACCGTTTCTGTCGTGTGTGCATCCGTGTCCGCCTGTGCATGGTTTGGTTGTTTGGGGACCACACCTGGTGGTGTTCGGGGGGCTTCTCCCAGTGTATTGCCCAGGGACCTGCAGTGCCCGGGACTGAAACTAGGGAACATCTATTAGGGGACGGGAGTCGGAGCCAAGCACCTCACCCTGGGGCTGGAGTGATAGTACAGCGGGCAGGGTGTTTGCTTTGCACATGGCTGACTCAGGTTCGATCCCCGGCATCCCATATGATCCCCTGGGCACCAAAGGGTGTAGCCCCTGAGCATCACTCTGTGTGGCCCCCCCCCAAAAAAACAACACCAAAAAAAACGAAGCCTTCTTCATGCCGCCAGCCCACCCACTGCTTTGCTCATTGTGACCCTGGTCCCCTCCGGTTTGTCCCCAGATAAAGCCACCAACCCTTCCAACCGCCAGGAGGACTGGGAGTACATCATTGGCTTCTGCGACCAGATCAACACTGAGCTGGAGGGGTGAGTCACGGGGCGGGAGGGGAGCAAGGGGCACGGCCAGCTGCCACCTCACCACGGGGCTCTGCTTGTTCCCCAGGCCCCAGATCGCGGTGCGGCTGCTGGCCCACAAGATCCAATCCCCGCAGGAGTGGGAAGCCGTGCAGGCGCTGACGGTAGGAACCGTTTGCTCCGGCTGTATGGTCGTGTGTGCTGAGGGCTGGGTGCGAGCAGCCCGGTGGGGGCAGCAGAATAGAGCCCTCGGGCCTCGGGGGGCTGTGGGGGCCCGGAGCAGCCGTGTCCCGTGACCCACGCCACTGCCCACAGGGAGGGTCGCACGGGCGGAGCCCCAGCAGCCGGATTCCCATGGTCCCAGAAACCCGGGTGGTCAAGGGGACCCTGGGTCTGCCGCATCACCTGGAACAAAGGCCTGGAGACTGCCAGGGCTGGCTCTACCCCCAGGACCCTGCCACAGCTGGGCCTTTGTCCAGATGTGAGCAGGACCAGCCCCACGGGCTGTGTGCGGCCTGGGCCGGTGGGGGGAGGGGAGGGGGGCGTGTCGGTGGGTGGGGTAGTTCTGTGGCCTGAGCCTTGTACGTTCTCTCCCCGGGGAGGAGAGAGGCCGAGGGACGTCAGTGCAGATACCCTGGGCTTGCTCCCCGGCTCCCTCGGCAGAACCTTGTGGGCAGTGGACTGACCTTCTGACCTACCTCCTGTCTGGGCTCAGGGTTACGGTACTGCTGAGCCGGGCTGGGTCCTGTCACTCTCCCCAGCCCTCTGACTCCCCCGAGTCCCATGTTCCCCAACCCTGTGCTCTCTGTCCCTGTTCCCCGGCCCTGTGCTCTCTGGCCCATCAGTGCCGCCCCACTGCAGGTGCTGGAGGCGTGCATGAAGAACTGCGGGAGGCGGTTTCATAATGAAGTGGGCAAATTCCGCTTCCTGAATGAGCTGATCAAGGTCGTGTCCCCAAAGGTCAGTGACCGCCCCGTCATTTCTGGACCCCTTGGTGTTGTCCTGTCCCCTGTCCACCACCCAATCAGTCCACTGCCCGCAAGCAGCTCCCAGAGCCTATTCTTGCTGTGCCCCGTGGGCAGGCCTGGCTGAAGCAGGGAACACCCCCCCATGCCCCTTGCTTTCCCCGTGACAGGCACTGCCACAGAACGACGGGCTTTCTTCTCGGGGCCAGGGCACGTGGGGTCTGGCCGGTGGTGGGTGCAGTGCAGGGGTGAGACCCTGCCTGACACCATTTTCCAGGCCCGGGACCCTCCCCCACCGACCACCTATCACTTTTAGGTTTTTGGTTGGGGGTTGGTTTGTTTTTCTAGTTTTTGAACCACACCCAGCAGTGCTCAGGGCCCTCCTGGTGGTGCTCGGGATACTGTCAAATCCAGTCTGGTTTTCCCATTCATGGCCATCACCATCCCCTGAAGTTTGTCCAGCCCCCCTTCTGTGGGGACCCTGTTGTCCTGGGTTCTGCCTCGGCCCAGGCTGATGTGGCCACTCGCTTCCTTCGGCCCCAGTACCTGGGGGACAGGGTATCAGAGAGAGTGAGGACCAAGGTCATTGAGCTGCTGTTCAGCTGGACGCTGGCCCTGCCCGAGGAATGCAAGATCAAGGACGCATACCACATGCTGAGGAGACAGGGTCCGTGCGCAGCAAGGGGGCAGGGCCACCGGCCCTGCCTCCTTGGGTCCTGCTGGTGGGGAGTGTGGGGGCAGGGCCGCTCAGGCACCGGATCCAGCTCTGCTGCCCTCTGCCCCTCCAGGCATCGTGCAGAGTGACCCCCCCATCCCCATGGACCGCACGCTCATCCCCTCCCCACCGCCACGTCCCAAAAACCCCGTCTTTGATGATGAGGAAAAATCGAAGGTGAGTGACCTCATGGGCTATGGCTCCCTGGGGCCCCCTGCCCCCCACCAGGCACTCTGTGCCCTCACCAGACCCCCACCTCTCTCCCAGCTGTTAGCCAAGCTGTTGAAAAGCAAGAACCCAGATGACCTGCAGGAGGCCAACAAGCTCATCAAGTCCATGGTGAAGGAGGTGAGTGGCAGCACGAGGCGCGGGAGGGCCTGGCACTGCTCCCTTGGGGGTTGGGCGCGGTGACGGCTCATCCCCTCCCTCCTTGCCCCGGCGCAGGACGAGGCACGGATCCAAAAGGTGACCCGGCGCCAGCACACGCTGGAGGAGGTGAACAACAACGCCAAGCTGCTGCACGAGATGCTGCTGCACTACAGCCGTGATGGCTCATCCGAGGCCGACAAGGAGCTCATGAAGGCAGGCAGCAGCGGGGGCGCTGACCCCTGGGGGGGCCCAGCCCGTGAGGTGGGAGGGGGAGGGCGTTTCTGGGCACCCGAAGCGCATGCCCACAGCCGGCTCTGATGTCTGCCCGGGCGGCCGGCAGGAGCTGTGTGACCGGTGCGAGAGCAAGAGGCGGGCGCTGTTCAAGCTGGCCAGCGAGACGGAAGACAACGACAGCAGCCTGGGTGAGCGGCGGGAAGGAGACCAGGAGACCTAGGAGCTGGGCTGTGCGGGGGTGTGGCTGCAGAGGTGTCACAGCGGCGAGAAGTCTCTCCTCTGCTCTAGGGGACATCCTACAGGCCAGCGACAACCTGTCCCGCGTCATCAACTCCTACAAGGCGGTGGTGGAAGGACAAGTCCTCAATGGGGACGTGACCACCTCCGTGGGGCCTGACTCCGAAGGTACCTGGTTGGCTCCAGTGCTCAAGGGTGGGCACTCGCAGGCTGCCCCGCCCGCGGCTCCCTTGGGCCTGACTCCCTGTCCCGTTCATCCCCCAGGAAACTGCTGCATTGTCCAGGGCACACTTATCGACCTTGCTGAGCCCAACACGCCGGACTGCTCCTCCCCGGGCCCGGCCCCCTCGCCCCCCTCCTCCAGCATCCCCATCCTCCCGCCGCCCCCCCAGGCCTCGGTGCCCACGCGCAGCTGCACATCCAGCCAGGCCGAGGCCCCCGTGGGGCCGCCCAGCACCAGCCTCTCCCTGCTGGATGAGGAGCTGCTCTGCCTGGGTGTGTCCTGTGTTCGCTGTGGGGGTCCCTCTGGGACCCCAGGGTGGGTGGTGTGTCCTGCTCCCTTTAGAGGCTGCTTGGGGTGGGGGTGGGGGCCGGCTTGTCCCTGTGCTCACGACGGGTGGCCTCTGTTCCAGGCCTCACTGACCCAGCCCCCTGCATCCCCCCGAGAGAGCCAGCTGCAAACGGCCAGTGGCCCGTGTTCCAGGTAGGGGCTCCAGTGACATCCCCGAAGCCTTCCCCTGGGGATGCCGAAGCCAGAACCCCCAACAGACCCCCGAATCACTCTTCCATTCCCAACAGAGCAAACAGCCGGAGCTGGACTTCCTCAGCCCCAAGCCTGCTTCTTACAGCCCCCCTGCCCTGGCACCCCTGTGCCCCGCGCCCGCTGGTGGCCTGGCCCATGCAGGCTCCTTGCTTCTGGCCGAGTGTCAGGCCCCCGGGCAGGCTGGCCCCAGCGCTGTGCCGCCACCAACAGCCCCCAGCCACCTTCTGGAGCCAGCACAAGTGTAAGGAGCGGGAAAGGAACAGGCTGGGCCCTGCAGCCAGGGGGTTCTTGGGTCTTACCCAGCCAGCTGGACTCGGTGTCTTGGGGCCGAGGGCGCCCCCACAGCTGCCCCCGCTCTGCCCTGACGCCTCTCCGTTGCCCGCAGGACCTCCGGCCTGGTGAAGCCCGCCACCTCCAGCTTCTTCCCCGGGGCCCCCCCAGTGAGGCCCCTCCTCCCCTTCTCTGCAGGGCCCGGCAGCCCCCTCTTCCAGGCCGAGGGAAGCCCCGTGAAGGGTCCCGAGCTCTCCCTGGCCAACGTCCACGTTCCGTTGGAGTCCATCAAGCCTAGTAGGTGGAGGGTGAGGGCGGGCGGGCGGAGACTGAGGCATGGCCACAGTGGCTGCAGGCCTGCCCGTCCCCCCTCAGGCAGCGCGCTCCCCGTGACGGCCTACGACAAGAGCGGCTTCCGCATCCTCTTCCACTTTGCCAAGGAGAGCCCACCAGGGCGGCCCGACGTGCTGGTGGTGGTGGTGTCCATGCTGAACACGGCCCCCCTACCCATAAAAGGCATCGTGCTGCAGGCTGCTGTGCCGAAGGTACCTGGGGGCCCGGCTGAGCAGTGGGTCTTGTGCATCTCGGCCCCCGCCGTGTCTCCCCCAAACTGCCTCTCTCCCTCTCCCCAGTCCATGAAGGTGAAGTTGCAGCCGCCCTCGGGGACTGAGCTGGCCCCCTTCAGCCCAGCGCAGCCCCCAGCAGCCATCACACAGGTCATGCTGCTGGCCAATCCCCTCAAGGTGAGCTCCGGTGGGGCCCAGGCTGGGGGGGTTGCGCACAAGAGGCCTCTCACCCACTGCCTTCTGTCCACAGGAGAAGGCCAGGCTGCGGTACAGGCTGACCTTTGCCCTGGGGGAGCAGCAGAACACGGAGGTGGGTGAGGTGGACCAGTTCCCGCCTGTAGAGCAGTGGGGGAACCTCTGAGCCCCGAGGCCGCGGCTGGAAGCTTCCCTCTAAGCCCCGGCGGGCACTCACGGCTTGTGGGGTAATGGGGGCCGCGGGCAGCTGCTAGGAGTCTCCGGTGCCCCTTAAAGGACCTGGCTTTATCTACCTGTGTGACTTGAAGTGGCCACAGGGCCTCAGTGGGCACGGCCCCGGGCCCCACACTGCACCAGGGAATGTGTCCCGATGCAGGATCTGCAGTGAGGGAACGGCCGCCTCCCGGTCACTGCCACGTGCCCCTGCTCCTCCCAGGAGGTGGGCGAAGCTCGTGCTTGTCCCTGATGGTGGCAGGGAGTGTCCTGGGGACATGGTGGGAGGTGGGGTCTGCTGTTACGGAATGTGGCTTACAGCAGCTGGAATAGGCTGGTGTAGAGAGTGGCAGGGCCACGACTCCAGAAGTAGTGCTCTGCAGTGTTCTGAGGCACATGCCTCCTGTGGGGACAGGCCACCCCATCACTACCTCTTGCTTAGCATGAAATACGCTCCTGTTTGGTCCTGCGCTGTGTCCTCTGGGCCATCATCTGACAGGCAACTGGGCCAGCCTAGGCACTAGGCTGATGTCCAACCTGCTGCCAGACCCCAGCTGTCCCCAGCTTGCAGTGAACTCGAGAGAGATGCTGGGTATGGAGGTGGTGAGATTAGGGGCCACACTCAATCGAGTCACCAGACCCTGCTGCTGAGGTTGGGCTGCAGTGACTCCTGTCTGGCTCCAGGCCCCACCCTTTCCAGGAGGCCCTCCAGCCAGGACTGAGCAAGCAGGTTTCCCTGCCCAAAAGGAAGAGCCTTTTCAGTCCTTAGGAATAAGTCCAGCTGCGGCGTCCCTTGAGAGGTTGGGGGTTATAGGTGGAAACTGTCTTCCCTGAGCTCTGGACAGTGTATGTGAGTGTCCCTACAGCTGTGCTGGATCTTCGCTGCATGATTAATAAAACCATTTTCACTCTCCTTGGGCTCCTGGAGGTCCCAGTAACCCCAGGGAGTTCCCAGATGCACAAGTGGGGATGCCAGGGTCAGGGCCCAAGAGATCCCAAAGGGCTGGAGACCCAAGTCTGATCTGCAACACTGTCAGGACTGATCTCCAAGTCCAGCCAAGAGCAGCTCTGGCAAACTACTACATAAAGGCTAAATAAGGTTCCTAGATACTTAGTTTCCCAGGTGACTCTGACCCCTGAGCATCATTAAAAAAAAAAAAACTCAGGGTCTCAGTGAAAGATGAGGGCATGTGGAATGGACCAGCTCCTTCTCTAAAGAGAATTTTCACTACCTCAGGCAGGTCGAAACCCCCTAGCTGGTTCTAAGAACTTGCTTTTACAGTTGAAAAAGAAAATATTTATTATTTTATATACATTGCCTTACAAATCCACCCTGAGGTAGCAGCTCCAGGCTGGCCTCAGGAGCCTTCTGACGAGCCTTCTTTTATAATTGCCCGGGCAAGATTCCGTGCCAGGGCAAGTCTCAACATCTCCACCTTGGTGGTCTCTATGTCATCATCCTGAAAGCAAGATTAGCCAGCATGAGGGCAGCAGAAGCCTTCAGGTCTCGGGGTCAGAAGAAAGAAACCAAATGGTCTTCTGGGGTGGGGAGAATGATGGTCTCAGCTGGGGGTTGTCACGTGCCCCATCTGTTCCTGACCAGGGCCTGAGCCTCCTCAGCTCTGCGAGGAAGGGTCTGGAGCCTGCGAGCATCACTGGGAAGTATCCCCTGTGCCACAGGCATGGCCCCCAAACCACACCTATTGATGGTAGCTTCCAGCAAGTTAGTGATGTGACTAGATGAAGCGGGGAATGTGATGGGCGGAGGCCCTAAGGGTAAAGACATATAAGACCAGGACACTGGGAGCCCCTCACACCCTCAAAGTGCTGCATCTGTTGGAGGCTGAGCAGGTTCAGGCAAGGGAGTGAAGCGGCACAATTCAAAAAGGGCCAAGCCAAGAGCTGGCAATGGCACGGCAGGGAGCAAATGGCAGGCCTGGGTTCAATCCCCACCACTGCCTAAGGTCCCAAGCACCACCAGGCCCCAGGCCAGCAGCATAGCATCTGCCTCACACAGCCAACCCAGCTCTGTCCTGGAGGAATGTCATGGTCCCCCAAGGAGCTCAGGAGTGAGCCCCAAAAGCAGCCGTGTGGCCCTCCAGAAACCAGCAAGTGGAGGCTGGAGCGGGTAGGGTGTTTGCCTTGCATATAGCCGACCGGGGTTCGATTTCCAGCATCCCATATGGTCCCCTGAGCACCACCAGGGGTAATTTCTGAGTGCAGAGCCAGGAGTAACCCCTGTGCATCGCCAGGTGTGACCCCAAAAAGCAAAAACAAAAAACACCTGGCAAGTGTTGCTTGTCCCCCATGATGGAGGCCTGGACCCAGGAACCGCACGCACCTGCAGCGGCCCCGCCCCGGGCTCCCCACGTGCTGGCGCCTCCAGTGTCAGGTCCTCCAGGCACCGCATCAGCTCGTATGTCTGCTCGGCCGAGAAGATCACCTAGGACGGGCAGGCCGTGAGTTGGGGGCTGCGGTGTCCCTTGCGCTCCCGGCCCCAGGGGCCCCTGCGCCTTGTCTGCACCTGCTGCTGCTCCAGGAGGGGTAGGGCATCCGTGAGGAGCGTCATCCAGAAGGAACGCGGGGCAATCTGCGACGTCATGAGTGACAGGAGGAGGGACGCAGCATCACCGAAACGCTTCTCCCCGTACACGCGGTGGAATTCGCGGTACTTCCCTAGTTAGGAGAAGGAGCACTGCCTCACCTCTGGCCCTGGACAAGGGGAGCATGTGGTTTCCCAGCTCACCCGGTCCCGCAGGGGAAGCCTCAAGGCTGAGTGGCTGCGGACAGCCACGGGGCCTCACCCAGATCACGCCACAAGAGCACAGGGACCACGGCGAGCCTGAGCAAGGAGGAACCCTCCTGCCAAGGACTACTATGCAGATCATCCTTCCAACCATGGGAGGGGCTCGGGAGAGCAAAGAACCCCACAAACCCCACAGAGGCACGACTCCATCCCCTCAGCCACATTCCTGCCCCTAACACAGAACCTGAAAATGATGACGAGTAAAACGGCTGGAGTGATAGTGCAGCAGGTGGGGTCAGCCAGGCTGGGACCCTGGCACCCCATTAGGAGTGATTCCTGAGCACCACCAGGTGTGGCCCAAACACAGAAAGAAAAGAAACATTTCAAACTGATTTTTCAATCTTTCCTGAAGGACCTCACAAGATACCCTATCAAAAGGGACACGAGAAAGGGCGTGGAGGCCAGGGGAGTCATTTCTTGTTCCTTCCTCGTCGAGGGAAACTGAAGTTTTAACATTAGACATAAATTTTGTTGCTAAAACTCATTTTTCCAGAGTGCAGCTAACGGATTTGGACTCTGGACTTTGCAGGACACTGAGCAGATCTGAACAGGTCATGCCCCAGGGCACAGGCTCCACCCCGTGGGGACACTCACCCAGGAACGTCAGCCGATCACTGAGCATCATGGCGGGGCCCAGATTGTCAATGAGATCCAGATCTGAGAAGCAGCCACGCTCACAGTAATCCCTGAGGAATCTGTGGGGCCGGGATTGACAATCACATGGGCCATCCCAGGGCCACCGCAAGCCCCCGAAAACCAGCCCCAGCCAGACGCACCTGTCGGACACGAGCGTGGCGAAGGCGGCGTCCTTGGCGCGGATGCTCCAGGAGAGTGCAGAGCCCAGGCGGTTGTTGCGGACGGCCTTCATGGCCAGGATCTTACAGATGCTGCGCACTGCGGGACACAGGCGGCCTGAGCCCGCAGCCTCCGCCATGCCCTGGGCAGGGCTCTACAGGACACCCGCCCCAGCAGCTTTACCTTGGCAAGTCGGCAAGATTTCTAGTGCGCCACCCCCCGCCCCCCAATCAGCTCTGTCTACCCGGTGCTCAGAATCCTTTGTCCTTCATATGTGGGATGCCACAGTCTTCAGAAGAGTCAAACACCGCAATGCCCTTGGAGAATAGAAATTTGGGCGAGGCCGGAGTCGAGGGCCCTGGAGCACAGGCTTTGTATGCAGGAGCCCTGGGATCCATCCCTGGCACCAGCCCCCCAAGGGCAAACTCTGGCTCAAAAGCCCTAGGCAATAACCAAGAAAGACATGACTTGGTTTCTGCTGGCCCGGAATGACGATACAGTGCAGTGAGTGGGGCACTTGCCCTGCACACGGCTGCCCAGGTTCGATCCCTGGCTTTCCATATGGTTCCCCAAGCACCACTAGGAATAACTCCTGAGCACAGAGCCAGGAGTAACCCTTGAGTATTGCTAGGTGAGGTCCCAAAACAAAAAACAATCTAGATTTCTGTCCTGTCCCTTGACCATGAGGGGAGAGAGAACTGCCTGGGCTACCCCCACCACTTTCGACACCTTCCTCAACAGCCTCAGTCCCTCAGGTGAGTGCAAGGCTGAGCCCAGGCCTGGCCTCTGGCAGTATGGAAGACAGGGCTCAGTAACTTTCCAGAGACACGCACAAGAGGCCAGATCCACAGCACAGGCAAGCTGGCAAACCCCAAGCTGATCCCCAGACTGATCCATGTACGGTTCCTGAGCATTGCCAGCAGTGATTCCTGAGCACAACCAGGCATGACACACCCACCCCTACACACTTCCCCAAAAGGAGAACGGAATAAAAGCACCACGGGGCTGGAGCGAGCACTGTGAAGGAGGGGCCCAGCACCACAGACCCGAGAGCAGAGTCAGGCTTGGCACAACACAAACACCCAAAAGAAAACAGAACTTAAAGGACAGAAAAGGGGTTGGAGCACTGCCGACCCAGGTTCAATCGCTGGCATCTCATAGGGTTCCCTGAGCAACGCCAGGAGTAACTCCTGAGTATGACCAGGTGTGACCAAACCCCCCCCCCCAAAAAAAAAAACCCTCAAAGAACTAAGAACACACTTTTTAGACTGGAAGTCTGGGCAAATGCCCAGTAGCATGTCCCCCTGCGCAGCACCAGGCCCACAGGACGTGACCCGCCAACAGGGCTAGACGGAGTTCAGGGTAGAGCTCGCCATGCCTCCAGAGCCTGCGGGAACGGGGTGGGGCAGGGCCGGGTGTGCCAATCCCCGAGGCAGCTGCTTCCAGGCCACCGACTCACCCTGCTCCGTCATCTGCCGCTGCTCACACACGCGCAGCACCTTGAGCGCCTTCTGCTCCGTGCTCAGCGGGATCCGCTCAATGTGCAGCTCCAGTGATGCGCGCCCCAGCTCCGGGCAGTAGTCAAAGTAATCCACCCCCAGCTGCCAGAGGCTGCAGAGGCAGGGACCATGAGGGCCGGAACCTGAGACCCACCCGTGCCCCCAGCACCCACAGGCCAGGCCCTACCTGTGGTGTGCGAACAGCCCGGACGCATACTCCAGCAGCAGGAACTCCCGCATGTTGGACCCAAAACTAAGCACAGCACACGTGAGGTACACGAGACACCTGCCTCCCCCCCAGCCCCCACCCCATGGCACATACTAGAGGTTGTGCGACTGCAGGAGCTTGCAGTGATCCAGCAGGTCAGTCAGGTGCGCCACGAACCACCAGTTGCTGAGGGCGATGCTGCGGGGGTGAAAGGCTGAGGCATGAGCAAGCACCCGGGTGACTCCCCAGGGGGGTCAGGGAACAGCAATGGACGGTCGGGGCAGAGCTCCCTGCACGGCCGAGCAAGTCTGCAGGACAGCCTGGACCCTTCACATGCCTCCTGGGGGAGGATTAGGGGACGCCTCCACTCAGCAAGCGGCCTCGGGGTTCCAAGGTGCCCCCCCTCCCCGAGGTGCAACTCATGGCTGCATTGTGGCCTCTGCTGGAAAAGGGACAATGGCCACAAGGGAAGAGTGGCCACCCGCAGTGGCCCGTCTGCCTGCAGGTGGGATAGCGCCTGCTACCCCGAGCCCTGCAGCTGCTCCCTGGCAGCTCTGAAGGAACCTGCCCTGCCCTCTGCCAGGCAGGCTGTGAACACGCTGACCCCGCCACAACCCTAGCACTGCCATGTGTGTAGTGAAATCAGATCAGACTCCAGATCAGGGACACTTGGGCTCACCTCCCCCACTACCCGCTCGGGGCTGCAGTCAATTCCCAAAGGCACCAGGAAGTGGCTGCCACCTGCCCCTGCTGCCCTGTTCCTTGCTCCCATACGCCCGACAGAAGGGACAGGCCTTTAGGAGAGCGGCCCCTTAGCAGGCCCGGCAGGAACCAGGCTGTTAAGCGCCTCACCCTCCTGCCAGTCCGCTCGCTACATTCCGGATGAGCTGACACATGGGTGAGGGTGCCCATTCAGAAGCCCCTTCAAGGTCATTACGGGGGCCCATTCAGGAACCCAGGACAGTAGGCCTGGAACAGTGGGGAAGGAGCTCGGATCTGACGCTGAGTGCGGGAAACAGCTTCCCACGATCCCCTGCCATCCTAGATGGCAAACCTGCAACCCGCCCTAAGGACACGTCAGCCCTCTCCTATGCCAGAGGCACTTCCAGGACGACTTCCCCATCAGCAAAACCCCAGCTCCAAGCCCCTCAGCGGGGAGAATTCAGCAAGCTCTGCTGGCCAGGCTCCCCACAGAATGGGCTGGGAGTGACGGAGCGGCTGTCCCTCACTGTCCCTCTCACCGTTCCTCAGAGGGCAAATTAGCACTTAGAATCCCGGCAGATGCTGCCAGGCCTGCCATGACGGGCTTTGTGCATCCTTCTCACCAGCCCAACAGGCCTAGGAGGAGCCGGAGGGTGCGGGGCCTACCTGCACTCCTTGATCACCTGGTGGATGTCAAACTCAAAGGCTGCCAGCAAGATGTTGTCCAGGGGCTCTGGGCTGCTGTCACCGCCCAGGAAGAGGTCAAAGCTGGACTGCGAAGAGTGCGCGGCCCCCTCAGTCCCCGGACGAGATCAGGCTCCCAGGGGTGCTTCCGGGGGCGTCAGAGGCCAAGCGCCTGCCTCGGGAGGGTCCAGTCATCAGCTCCGCCCGCCGGAGTGTGGGCTCACCTGGGCGTAGAAGTGCAGGTCGCTGGGCTTGACCGTGGGGTGGGAGTAGAGGAGGCGGGTGACCAGGAAGTGGTACCAGTTGCTCAGAAGCTCCTTCTGCCCCAGCAGGGCCTCTTCATCTCCGAGCATAACCTGCGGGAACGTGGAGCCCAGCTGACACTCGCGCCCCCCTCCACCAGCGCACCCTCTGGCCCGATGCCCCCACACACCTTGCAGAGCGTCTCCAGGGGGGGGCTAGCGGCGAACGTGCCATCCTGGAGGCGGCGCTCGCACTGCTCGCGCCAGTGCTGCCACTTCAGCTCCAGCTCGGTGAGGGTCTGAGTGCTGCCCGGCTGCAGGGACACGGCCGTAAGACCCTCGGCCACCTTGGTGCAACCCACCCTGGTCCGGGCCCCACGTCCCACATACACTCAGGATGGGCATCGTCCTCATCAGCTCCCCCATGAGGCGGCACGTGCCTGCCGAGGCGGGGGTAGCGTCGGCCTCCTTAGACAGCATCTGGCGGGCCTCGTCCAGCCGGCCCTGGAGCACCAGCGTGGTCACCTGCAAGGATGTCCGAGACAGGCTGTTCCCCAGGTTGGGAGTCCAGGTTCCCCTCACCCCCCCACAGCATTCACCCCCTCCAGAGGCCCTGAGGCAGCCCCATCTGCCAGGAGGGCCCACATGCAGCACAGCCAGGAGTTACTCCTGGCCAAGTGCTCAGGGGTCTCGCCCACCCAGAGGACTCCAGTGAACACAGGGTGTCAGAAGGACCCTGAGGCTCCCACGGGTGGGGTGGCCCCAGCCCCTCTGAGCTGCCTTCCTGGCCGGCACCAGGCTTTCAACCATGTGCTATAACTTAACTGTTTGCAGGTCACCACAAACTTGTTCGCTTTTTTTGGAGGGGGGCTGTTGCTTTCTGGGTCACACCCAGCAATGCTGGGCGATGCTCAGGGGTTACTCCTGGCTCTGCCCGCAGGAATTATTCCTGAAGTGCACCATACAGATGCCAGGGATTGAACCTGGGTTGGCCATGTCCAAGGCACACACCCATCCCACTGCGGTCCCACATGTCTGCGCTTACACCACATTGGGTGGCGGTTCCATCCCCAGGACAGAGCCCACTACCTCACGTTTCTCTTGTTTTTTTGTTTTCTGGGCCACACCCAGTGGTGCTCAGGGTTTACTCACGCACTTAGGAGCTACTCCAGGGGACTATATGGGATTGGTCCCCACTCTGCTACCTCCAGTCCTGCCTCGTGTTTCTAAGGCCGCATCTGCCACCCTGCTGGCTCCTGCCTCCTGAACCAACACTGTATTCAATGCACCAGTATTTTCTTTCTTTGGTTCACAATCACTCAGGGCTTACACCTGGCTCTATGCTTAAAAGATCATTCCTGGGGTACATTTGGGGTGCTGGGAAACCCAGGTTGGCCATCTGCAAGGCAAGTGCCCTGCCCGCTGTCCTATCTCCCTGGCCCCCATTGATCAGTTTCTGACTCTTCACGTCTCACCTCTGACCCTCAGACACCACTTAGGAGATACTCCAGGGGACCATATGGGATCGGTCCCCGCTCTGCTACCTCTAGCCCCGCCTCATGTTTCTAAGGCAGCATCTGCCACCCCGGCCTTGACGCCAGGCGGGCCACACACTCACCCATCTCTCCTGCGCCCCGGTCACACCCCACGGACGAGAGACTGAGGGAGGAGTGGGGGGTCCTTACCAACTTCCAGAAGTGCTCATGCTTGCTCGGAGCCTCACTGCACAGTACGTCGGCCAGTAAAGTGTCCACCTCGCACACGTGCAACCGGACCCAGTCCAGGAGGTGCAGGAGGAGGGACCCCGCTGGGAAGAGGCACACACATCACACACAGACCTCGGTGGCCCCTGCAGCAGACACCCCAACAGAAGTGGCAGGCGGGGGAGTGACAGCGCTGGAAGGGGCCGGGCCCAGTGTCTGCCCGGTGGCGGGGGAGTCCGGGTCACACCCAGGCCCTGGGACTTGACACCTCCAAACGCCAAAGATTCTCTGACTATTTTAGCTCTGTGTCTGGCATCACACACATCACTCCTGGCATGGCTGGAGGGACCATCTGCAGGATCAAACGGGTCGGGGGCGCCCCGGTATGACCTTCCCAGCCTCCCGATAAATCTCGACTGCACAGTGCTCGACAGCTGTCACAGCGAGAGCTTGAGGGGCAGTGACCGAAAGGGTGCAAGCACTCGAGGAGGACAGGAGCCGGGTGGTGGGGCACAGCTGAGGAGCACCCTCTCTGCACCCAGCTGAGGAGCAACCTCTCTGCACCCAGCTGAGCACCTTCTCTGCACCCAACTGAGGAGCACCCTCTCTGCACCCAGCTGAGGGGCACCCTCTCTGCACCCAGCTGAGGAGCACCCTCTCTGCACCCAACTGAGGGGGCACCCTCTCTGCACCCAGCTGAGGAGCAACCTCTCTGCACCCAGCTGAGCACCTTCTCTGCACCCAACTGAGGAGCACCCTCTCTGCACCCAGCTGAGGGGCACCCTCTCTGCACCCAGCTGAGGAGCACCCTCTCTGCACCCAACTGAGGGGGCACCCTCTCTGCACCCAGCTGAGGAGCAACCTCTCTGCACCCTGCTGAGGGACACCCTCTCTGCACCCAGGTGAGGGGCACCCTCTCTGCACCCAGCTGAGCACCTTCTCTGCACCCAACTGAGGAGCACCCTCTCTGCACCCTGCAGAGGGGCACCCTCTCTGCACCCAGCTGAGCACCTTCTCTGCACCCAACTGAGAAGCACCCTCTCTGCACCCAGCTGAGGGGCACCCTCTCTGCACCCAGCTGAGGAGCACCCTCTCTGCACCCAGCTGAGCACCCTCTCTGCACCCTGCTGAGGGACACCCTCTCTGCACCCAGCTGAGGGGCACCCTCTCTGCACCCAGCTGAGGGACACCCTCTCTGCACCCAGCTGAGGGGCACCCTCTCTGCACCCAGCTGAGGGACACCCTCTCTGCACCCAGCTGAGGGGCACCCTCTCTGCACCCAGCTGAGGGGCACCCTCTCTGCACCCAGCTGAGGGGCACCCTCTCTGCACCCAGCTGAGCACCCTCTCTGCACCCAACTGAGGAGCACCCTCTCTGCACCCTGCAGAGGGGCACCCTCTCTGCACCCAGCTGAGCAGCACCCTCTTTACACTCAGCTGAGGGGCACCCTCTCTGCACAGCAGGCACAGTTCTGGTACCCAGCGGTAAAGGACAGGGTGCAGCTCAGACCGGCCCTGCCAACTGGAGGCCGGATCAGGAGGTCCTGGAGAGAGGGGCGACGCCAACCCTCACCCGTCACCACTTCATCTGCAGTGAGGCCGCCGGCACCACCTCGCCTGGCCTGTCCCTTTCACAAACCCAACAGAGCTAGTGTCTCCCAGGTCTGAGACGCCCTGCCAGCAGCACTGGCCACGGAGACGGGAGGCACGAGAAAGAGCCCTGCTGTGTAGCTCTGGTCCTTTGCCACGGCCTCCCCGCTCCGTCTTCCCTGGGGCCGGCAGTGGGGAGAGGGACGGGCTCACACTGAGGCAGACCAGCACAGGCGCTGGAACTTCCTTTGGAAAGGGCAGAAAATGTCTTTTTCTTTCAGTTTTTGGGGGGCATGTGATGTTTGGGGCCAAACTAGGCCATACTCCAGACTCACTCCCAGTGGGATGGCAGGGAAGGAACCCCGGATGCCTATCACTCGGTCCCCGTCCCACGCCCCACACCGCACCCCGCAGGCATCTGTGAGTGCTCCATGAGGCTACCGGTGGCGAGAGCACGGCCCCAGAGAAAGTGGAGAGCGCCAGGGCCACCCCGACAGCAGCATTCTGGCTCACCTGGGGCGACTTCAATAAAGAGAATCTCACAGAGATTCCAAATGAGCTCCATGGCTGACAGAATGGAAATCTAGGGAGGAAAGACAGACCGAAGTTAGACAGCCCGACGCTGCGCTCACTCACAGGCGAAGGATCTGGAGGAGTCTCCCGAAGACGGAGCGCTCCCGAGGAGCGAGGAGAATATTCGCGACTTAGACATCCCCAATGGTGGCAAAGCCACCCTCAGACATCGTACCGTGAAGAGTGGTAAAGGCGCCGCCCAGAGCCCCTACCTGAGAGCTGAACTGATGGCCACTGGCGGGGTCTTTGGCAGCAGCTAACAAAAGACAGAGCATGTCAGTGAGCAACGGAGCCCAATCACCCCGTCACGGCCTCACAGTTGAAGATCTACACTTTATGCCTTTGTTTCTTCAAAACACCCCCCATTTGGGGGCTGGAGAGATAGCACAGCAGGGAAGAAACTAGCTTATATAAGGATTACATCAGATAAACAAGAGTATTTAGTTTGGGGGGGAGCTTTCGGGGCCACACCCAGAATGCTCAGGTGCCATTCCTGGAGGTGCTCAGTGGACCACGAGATGCTGGGGATCGAATCTGGGTCTGTCACATGCCATACCCACTGCACTATCGCTCCAGCCCTGCAAGTAAGAGTTCTGAACTGGAATGTCTATCAGATTTTACCTGATAGTATCAGTCAAATATTTCAACCACTACTGTGAACATAAATTCTTACTTGCAGGAGTTGTAGAGATATACAGCAGGTATTTGCCTTGCAAATGGCTGACGTGGGTTTAATTCCCAGCACCCTATATGGTCCCCTGTGCCCACCAGAAGTGATCCCTGAGCACAGAGCCAGGAGTATGTCCTGAGCACCTCCAGGTGTGGCCCTTAAAGGTAAGGTAAAGGTAAAGGCCCTCCCGTTGATCGTCGATTTGCTCGAGCGGGCCCAGTAACGTCTCCATTGGAGACTTTGTTGTTACTGTGTCTGGCATATCGAATACTCTCGGTAGCTTGCCGGGCTCTCCGAGAGGGGCGGAGGAATCGAACTCGGGTCGGCCATGTTGGCCGCGTGTAAGGCGAACGCCCTACCCGCTGTGCTATCGCTCCAGCCCTTAAGGTGTGGCCCTTAAACCAAAAAATTAAGATAAAATCCTTACTTGCAACCTGGTGCATTTCTTCCATGCATGCTCTTATTACGGATCGGTAGTTTTTACTCACTCGCACCAATCTACGGAGAGAGAAATGACAGATGAGTTCGGGACATCTCAGAGGAAGACAAAGGGAGACAGAGTCAGACAGGCAGAGGTGAAGGTGCTGACCTGGCATGCGGTCAACCAAGTTCAAGGCCTGGCACCACCCGGGGTCACTCATAAACACGAAGCCAGGAATAGTTCCCGAGCACTGCATTATGTGTGTCTGATAACTGGGTTGGCAAAAGGTGACACCATTTGAACCCTGTTACACATGGTCAAGATTTAGGTCCAGATAAAAAAAAAACTTCCCCAGCCAAAAAAAGAAAAAAAAAACAGATGATTAATACACTACCCCAACACACAAGAGCTGCCATCCACCCTCAGATGGAACAGACCTTCCTGCACTTTCCTCCTCCGCAACAACCGCAGGGGATGGATTAAGGAATGTTCTAGACATTCTATGAACAGCCATGTAGTGCGGAGGCAAAGCACTGAACCATCCTGACCACATGGTGGGGCCGTGTGTGGTTGGGGAGGGCCCCGAGTGACCCATAGGCAAGGCAGCATCTCCCCGCTGGATTACTGCTCCAGCCACCAGAGGCCCAAACTGGACATAGGAGTTCCTTCTTATTCCGGTACCAGAACACCTTTCCTGGTGCTTTCGCAAAGCTCAGAGGCAGCGGACAACAAGCAGCTTACTCACTGAGCTTTCCTGGACTTCCCAGTCAGTTCATCTTCAATTCTCTGGAGGCCCACAAAAATTCCATGGGATTCATTGAAGAGTTTTCTCAAGATTTGAGAGTAAATCTCTTCATCCTTTCGGACGATGTAGATGAACGGACACCCAGGCAATGGTGACTTTTCTGAAATAAAGCAAGAAGAGTTATCCCCATCACACCCAGAAGAAAAGCGAGCCCTAGGGGTCTGGGGAGACAGCACAGCAGGGAGGGCGCCTGCCTTGGGCACAATCAGATCCGGGGTAGAGGCGGGAGAAAAAGCCAATGTGCCAAGGTGAGTTACATGAGTTACATGAACGTGACGACACGCAAACTGACCTTTTCTATTGAAGGAAGTTTCACACACCAGCATCTCTCCAGGCCCCCAGTCGAAACATATTTGATTTTTCTTGGAATTCACGCCAGGAATTAACTAAGTAAGTAAACAACAGAGCACAGTACTTAGTCCTATACTAAATTACAACCCTGGTGGAGAAATTCTTGCACCTTTCCAATACACTTTTTTATTTTATTTTATTTTTTTTTGCTTTTTGGGTCACACCCAGCGATGCACAGGGGTTACACCTGGCTCATGCACTCAGGAATTACTCCTGGCAGTGCTCACGGGACCCTATGGGATGCTGGGAATCGAACCCAGGTCGGCTGCGTGCAAGGCAAATGCCCTACACGCTGTGCTATTGCTCCAGCCCCCCAATTTTTAATTTTCTTAAAAAACAGAAGCTGTGGGGCTGGAGCAATAACACAGCGGGTAGCAGAGCCAGGAGTAAGCCCTGAGCACCACTGGGGTGACCCCAAAATAAAACTCATTCAGGATCTGAGGTAAAGGTAAAGGTAAAGGCCCTCCCGTTGATCGTCGATTTGCTCGAGCGGGCCCAGTAACGTCTCCATTGGAGACTTTGTTGTTACTGTGTCTGGCATATCGAATACTCTCGGTAGCTTGCCGGGCTCTCCGAGAGGGGCGGAGGAATCGAACTCGGGTCGGCCATGTTGGCCGCTTGTAAGGCGAACGCCCTACCCGGAAGACTGGGTTTAATGTCAGCCACACACAGCTTTCTTCATAGACGTCACTGAACTTGAGGGATCAGTCATGTGAAAGGGTTGTGCTTGCAAGTGAAGCCGTTGGTAGGAGTAACTGCTTCTGGTTTTTTATTTTTTTATTTTTTTGCTTTTTGGGTCACACCCAGTGATGCACAGAGGTTACTCCTGGCTCTGCACTTGAGTTACTACTCCTGGCAGTGCTCAGGGGACCATATGGGATGCTGGGAATCCAACCCAGGTCAGCTACATGCAAGGCAAATGCCCTACCCGCTGTGCTATCGCTCCAGCCCCAAGTTTTTAAAATTTCAATAAGGGCCGTACCCCACAGCGCTGCAGAGACAAGGAGGGGTAACGGAAGGAATGTACTCTAAGAGGTCAACCTAAAGCCCAGTAAAAGCAAGGCATGTGCTCTACTACCCAGAAATGTGCTCTCTCATCACTGGCCCGGAAAGAGTTTTGATAGATGCTTCAACCCGAACTGCCACCTACCAAGTGTTATTTTTTTAAAAGTCTGAGGGGGCTGGAAAGATAGAATGGGGGTTGGGCACTTGCATTGCACAAGGCCAACCTGAGTTGATTCTGAGCACCCCATAAGGTTCCCCAAGGCTTGGCATGCATCCGACCAGGATTCAATCGCTCCCCACAAACACACGGTCCCCTGAGCCCCACCAGGAGCGATCCCAGAGTAGAGCCAGGAGTGACCCCAAAAGAAACAAGCAAACAAAAGGGGGGCATGGAGGTGGTTGTTTGGCAGAGCGAATGCCCCAGGTTGCATTCCCAGCATCCACTGTCCTCCAACAGTGCTGGCGGCTGCACCCGAACACTGGCTTGCAAGTAGCCTTTAAATACCACCAGATGTGGCCCCCGAACAGAAAACCAAGAATGGTCTCGGGAAAGCACTCTGTGGGTGTGGAAGGGGGCGGGGCAGGACGGACGGAGATAGATCAAAGCGCTACGGCCCGTACTACACACGACGAGAAGACCCTGGGCGACCCCCAACACGGCCCCTGCAGCGCCCCTCCCCGCGCCCCCTTAAACGTCAAAGGACCGATGTTAGGGGCACCCCGAGCCGACTTCTGGGAGCCGCGCCGTGCAGATTTAATCTGCCGGCGGGGGGAAAGCCCCAAACGCCCCTGGTTCGCTCTGTACACCGTGCGCTCCGGGAAGGCACGTCTGGGCGAGGCGACAGAGGAGCCCCGGGTGCGGGGACCCTGGGCACACGGGGGTGCAGAGCGCAGCAGCTTCCACGCGCGCCCGGCACGGGCACCTCGGTTCCGCCGGGTCCGTCCGGGAGCCGAGGGGACGGAGCGGCCGGCGGCGACGCGGCGAAACTCCCTCTCACCCCGGGACCCCTTCGGGGAGCGCTCACCGTGACCGCGGGCTCGCCGTCCAGCTCCTCCATCGCGCCGCGCCGCACGGCCGGGAGCCCGCGAGCCGCCCCAGCCGCGCCTCGAGCCTCCCGCCCCGGAGCCGCGGCGAGCGAGGGCCCCCGCCGGGCGCCCACGCCACTGCCCGCAGGACCCGCGCCGGCACGCACGGCGGCCGCGCCTCCCCCACCGCCACACCTCGCTGCGGTGTCCCGACACGAGTCTCTCCTGCCGGCCTGCGACGACGCAGCCAGGGAAACCGCGTCCGGGGACCGGCCGTCCTGAAAAAGCTGCCCCGCCCGCTCAGGCGCCGCCGCGGACAGCCCCGCACCGGGCCTGGGGAAGGACCCCGGAGAAGGCGGGAGCGGTGCGACGCGTGCGCGGACCCGGGCGCGCCGGCAGGGCAGGGGAGGGGGCGTGGCCTCTCCGCCACCGCGGCTCTCGGGCGGTTCTCGCCGCTTCCTGATGTCCAGGTGGGCGTCCTTCGAGCCGCTCCCGCGGGCCGTCTCCCAGCGCAGCGCCGTGCACCGCCAGACCCCGGATTCCTGGGCTTGTGTGCGCGGACGGACCCCCCACGCCCACCCCTCGTGGGGCAGGCGAAGGGACAGTGTCTCTGCCCACGAAAGCGCTGTGAAATCGACACAGCTGCACGCACCGCGGGTTTATCTGCCCGGGCAAGAGCGGGGTGCAGAGACGCTGAAGGCGCGCATCGATCGGGGAATCCCGGCCCCCGGGAAGCTCGGCAGTGCTGCAGGCGCTGGCAAGAACTACTGGTTTGTCCGAGTATCAGCTTAACAGACACATACGCTGCGGTGGCGTAGAGCGGAGCCTGGTGGACCGTCTCCAATAAGCAACTTTGAGATTGAATCGACGATGATCGATTGGAAAGTCTTAGGGGACCGGTGCGATGGCACAGCGCGGAGGGCGTTTGTCTTGCGCATGACCCACCCGGGTTCGCTCTCCTACACCCCCGTATCCCGCCACCTGCCCACGCCCTGGTCCTGCCAGCCCTGAGCGCAGAGCCAGGAGTGAGCCCTGCACAACGACAGGCGTCGCCCAAAATAAAGAGAAGTTTTAGGAAAAAAAGAGTCTGAAAACCTAAGCTCTTACCTTATGTGGGAAAATAAATTAGATCTGGAAACTAAAATTACTCAGTGGAGGATGCCTGTACCCTGGAAATTATTCGGTTGGTTTTTCGTTTTTCTTTCTTAATTTTCTTTTTTTTTTTTTTGGCTGTGGGGGTGCTGCTTGGTGTTCTAAAGGCTCTCTGCTCTGGGGACCGGCGGGGATCAGAGGTCTGGACCCCTGTATGCAGAGCAGGAGGGCCTGCCATGGAGACGTGGCCCCCGCCCATGGAATGATTTTCAATGAGCTCTTTGAATAGGTGGAAATGAGTGGGGCTGGGTAGAAAAAGCTTGTCACCAAATACTTTGTTCTGAGGCACAAATTGTTAAAAACCCAAAAGAAAGCAGTGGAGACAGAATAGAGGGGTTCAGGCACTTGCCTTAGGGGCAGCAACCCCAGCACTCCACAAGGAGCCTGCAGCACCTCCAGGACTACCCCTCAGCTGGAGTGATTCCTGAGCACTGCTGGGTGTAACCCTAAAGCAAAACCGAAAAATGGACCCTAGTTTTATCCTCTGAGCCCACCAAGATTGTTCCCTAACCACAAAGCCCGGACAAAGCCCTGGGCACCAACTGGTGTGGTGCCAGGGCTGAAAAAAAATAGAAGGAAAACTAGCAAACAGTGCTTTTTTTTTTTTTCTTTTTTCTTTTTGGGTCACACCCAACTATGCTCAGGGGTTCCTCCTGGCTCTGCACTCAGGAATTACTCCTGGCTGCTTGGGGGACCATATGCATATGCGATGCTGGGGATTGAACTCATGTCCGCCGCATGCAAGGCAAAAGCCCTACCCACTGTACTATCGCTCCAGCCCACAAACAGTTCTTTTATTTTTCTACATATGAGCCTTTTCTTTTCTTTCCTCTTAGCCCCTTTCTCAATCTTCTGAGAATGGGATTTAAATAAAGTCATTTATACGTCCTTTTTTGTTCACCATTTTGTATTTGGGGGTGTGGGAGGCACAATTAACAGCTCAGCATCATATGGTGGAATCCTGGACTGCTGCAAGAAAGCGTGAGATCAACCCTTTGAACCATCTCCCCCCCAACGCCTCCCCACCTCCCCCATCCTTCCTGGTCCTTCCTGGTCTTTCTTTTTTTGTCTTTGGGAGCGAGTGGCCTGAATGTCACCCAGTGATTCTCAGGGTACCTTGTACCTTGTTCTCTGAGGTTCAATTCTAGGCCTCATACATGCAAAGCATGACCCAGCTCGTTGAGCTGTCTCTCAGCCACCTGCATCCTTCTTTAATTTGTATTATTTGTTCTGGGTCCTTTGGAAGCTAAACCTGCAGTGCTCCCAGGATCTTTGTTCAGGGTTCGCCCTTGATGGTGCTCGGGAAACCATATGTGGTGTTGGGGATCAAACCAGCATTGTCCACGTGCATTAAGATGCAGAGGGATAATCTGACCTGGGTTTGATTATCCCCAGCAGCCCATATGGTCCTCAGATTCCCACCAGGAGTGATCCCTTAGCACACAGGAGTAATCCCTGAGCACTTAGGGGTGTAACCCCAAAACCCCTCCTCAAACAACAACAACAACAAACAGAAAAGAAAATTGGGGCTGGAATGGTAGTACAATGGGGAGGGCAGTTGCCTTGCACATAGCTAACCCAGATTCGATCCCCAGCATCCCATATGGTCCCCCAGGCACCAGGAGTAATTTCTGACTGCAGAGCTAGGAGTAACCCCTGAGCATCTCCAGGTGTGTCAGAAAAACAGACAAAGAAATAAAGTTAAGGCACCAAAGAGAGAATATAACAGGTAAGGGGCTTGTCTTGCACATGGTCAACCGGGTTCAATCCCCAGCACCTCCAGGAGTGATCCCTGATCCTTAAGCACCTCTAGGTGTGGCCCCAAAACAAAAAATTAGCACTTGGGGGAAAAATTGCTTTTTCTTAAAATATATATTATTTAATAATTTATTAAAATGTAATTTAAGGGGCTGGAGCAATAGCACAGTGGGTAGGGCATTTGCCTTGCAGGCGGCCAACCCGGGTTCAATTCCCAGCATCCCATAGGGTCCCCCGAGTACCACCAGGAGTAATTCCTGAGTGCATGAACCAGGTGTAACCCCTGTGCATCGCAGGGTGTGACCCAAAAAGAAAAAGTATATATATATACATATAATTTTAAATTTAAATAATAAAATTAATTAGCACACAGAAGCTGGGGGTGTTGCTCAAGAGTTAAGGTATTTGAGACTGAATTCAATCCACAGCTGCACTTGGCCTCCCAAAGGAGGCCAAAGGAGCACCAGAGGAGACAAACCAAGCACCACTTAGCAGGCCCCTTCGAAGAAAAAGACGGGCATCAAGGAATGGGACTCAGTCTGAGGCTCTGAGTTTGATCACTGGCACCACCCAGAAAGGGGCAGGGGTGCTGCCAGGGAGAGCACTTAAAGCTCAAGGCACATACTTTGATTTTTTTGTTTTCCTTTGGGGCCTCCGCTGGCACTGCTCAGGGTTAACTCCTGGGTCTGCACATAGCGATCACTCCTGGCAGTGCTCATACGCAGAATGGGGATCAAACTCGGGTTGGCCTTGAGCCAGGCTAGCACCCTCCCCGCTACACTCTCTCTCCAGCCCCAAGTGCACATACTCTGAATGCAGGGGACAGGTCCCATCTCCAGCACTGCGGGGCCCCTCTGGGAAGGACCCCTGAGCACGCTAGTTATGTGCCCCTCCAGAAACAAAGGCCAAGATGGGAGAATGCACCGTGGCTAAAACAACTGCCTGGCACCAGCCCTGCACTGAAGCCCGGTCCTGGCAGTGCTGCCGATCCCTGGTGCCAAGATCTGGCGCTGCATTGCAGTCAGGCGTGTTCCAGAACCACAGTGGAAAGACTGAAACCATGGTGAGCAGCTCAGCGAGGGATGTGGTCAGGTACCAGCCCAGAGTGTGACTCCTGCAGGCACGCACACTTCCCTAATAATGGCCCCTGCTAGCAGCACAGCTCATAGTAATCGCGTGGATGCAAACCTGGCCATCAATATCATCAACAGAGGGGCTGGGATGCAGGAAACTAAATCATCAAGTTAACATACAGCCCCCCAAAGGTATACAGATCCTTTAACCCCTCCAGGGCTTTCAAGAACTTGCCCTGTCTACAGCCAAGCACAGTTCAGTCGCTGACTGCATATGGTTCCCCAGCAGCAGCAGGAGTGACTGCAGAGCACAAAGCCAGGAGTGAGCCTCAAGCATTACCAGGTGTGGCCCCAAATCAAACAAACCAAAAAAGAGGGGAAAGGGAAGGGGACAGCGGGTCAGGCACTTGCTTTGCCTACGGCCAATCTGAGTTCAGTCTCCAGCACAGTGCCTAGTCTCGCAAGTCCAGCTAGGAGTCGCCCTGAATGTAGACCCCGGAGGAAGTTATGAGCACAGCCAACCTGCTGTGATCTGCAGAAAAGAATGACAAAATGGAGAGGAGAGAGAGGTGCCTGTCACAGAGGCAGGCGGGTATGGGGGTGACTTGGCAGGTTGGAAGGGAAACTGGGGACATTGGTGCTGGGAAATTACACTGATGGAGGGATGGGTGTTGGAACACTGTATGGCTAAAACCCAATATGAACAGCTTTGTAGTGCTCTTTCTCATGGAGATTCCATAAAATTAAAAAAAATATGTTTTAAAAGAACAAAATTAAGAGATATTCTAGAAAAACAGTAGAAATTTATTTTCAAGAGTCTTATAAATAGGTTATTGTTGTCCTTTTTTTTTTCTTTTTGGGTCACACCCAACGATGCACAGGGGTTACTCCTGGCTCTGCACTCAGGAATTACCCCTGGCGGTGCTCGGGGACCATATGGGATATTGGGAACCGAACCTGGGTCGGCCGTGTGCAAGGCAACTGCCCTAACCGGTATGCTATCGCTCCAGCCCCGGTTATTGTTGTCTTGTGATCCCATAAGTCCTTTCTGAAAATTCATTTCAAAACATAAGACCTGGAGCCAGAGAGACAGTACAGAGGTTCAGAAGCACTCCTGGTGGTGCTCAGGGGACAAGACAGGGT